GGCGGTCGGGTAGCCTAGTGGTTAAAGCATTCGCTCATCACGTCGAAGACCAGGGTTCGATTCCTGACATGGGTACAATGTGTGAAGCCCATTTCTGGTGTCCCCCGCTGTGATATTGCTGGAATATTGCTAAAAGCGGCATAAACCATACTCACTCGCTCACTCATATCTACATTCTAGTGTGGTAAATACCCTGGAAAATAGGAATTTAGGTTATCATCAATACAAGCTGTTTTTCCTGATTATATGGTGTAAATGAGTATTCCACTTCCTTGTATCGAGTCGTGTTGTCCAGAACTTTGACTGCTTTTAAAACGGAAACGCAATTGATAAGTGCAAGTGTAGTGTGTTCTGAGTCATCGCTGATATGGAATGTAACACAATGATCTAGTCTCTGTTTCCTCCACAGGGAGATAACTATTTGAGCTGATATCACTTTCTGTGTGTCTCGGGGAACTTTTCAATTTATTAATTTAAGATGTATATATTTTCTCTACTTTATGTGTGCTGTGTATGAAATTTCTTCATGTTCATATTTATCTTGAGGAATTTTCTGGCCTTTCAAGGATAGGTCTCATTTAAGTGATGATAATTTTCATAATTTTTGCAACTGAATCAGTAGAAGAGTGACTGTCATCGTGAAGATTTCGGTTAGAATTTATCTTCATCAGCTCCTGCTTGTCGTGAGAGGTGACTAACAGGATCGAATGGCTCAGGCTCCCTGACTTGGTTGATGCATGTCATTGTGTGCCACTTGCATAGGTCGATGTTCATGATGTCAATCACTGGATTGTCTGGTCCAGACTTTATTATTTACAGAGCACGGTCATGTAACTAGAATATTGCTAAGTGCAGCGTTAAACAGTAAACAAACAGTATGTCAGCTGATTATCCTGTAAATAACCAAGTAAAAGATAATGCAGTGGTAGGCCTGATGACACACAGTGGTACTCCAAAGCATGATCACACACTCAGACTTGTAAAGATCCAGGTTAGAATAGGTCTTCAGCAACCCATGCTTACCATAACAGTCAACTAATGGGATCGAGTTGCCAGGCTCGCTGACTTGGTTGATGCATGTAATCATATCATAATTGCATAGATCGATGCTCATGATATCAATCCCTGGATTGTCTGGTCCAGATTGTCTGTGTCACAATAGTGACGTGTGGTGTAGATCTTAGCTTAGCAAGGCTTACTTTGTTTTTTTAGGGGTTGCCCACTTCATGTTGGTTTAGGAAACTGATATGCTTTGCTTTCCATGCCTGTTATATATTCAGTTTAGTTGTCGTGATGTTCGGTGTCCAAAATAGCTGCTGCTCGTTATCCCGTGCTGGTAACATTTTTGGTGGGATAGTTGTATTTAATTCCACTCGCTTACTGGAGACAAGAGCTACTGTTGTGATTACGAAGCTGTAAATGTGTAAAGCACAGATCAAGTAAAGTAAATCTGAAAAAAATGACATTGACCATCTTCTATAACATGTATTCACAAATTCGGGCCTGCAATTTTCAAGCCCGTGTCTCCAACCAGCCTGGCTTTTGGGGAATAATAACTATTTTAGACACTATTGACACAAGTTTCAGATAACTATCCTGTCTGCACGGAGGAGCAAGTAGATATGTTGTCAGTCAGATCATAGAAGGCCTCATCTTTCTCTTATATTGGTACAGCCAGCCTTCTAGAAACTATCACCTCAAGAATATACTCGATTGAGGTAGTCTGTCCCGGAAGTGAATCAACAACTGTATGTTAAAGCTCCCCACAGCAAAGCTCTATATACTGGATAGATAACGAAGGTGTCTAGCGCTGGGGCGGAGCTTGCAATCACAACAGCAAAGGGAGGTCACACTATATTAGGGATGGGTATTTAAATTGGAGGTTTAAAGTGCTTCACAATATTTTGTAATACACAAGGCCGTATTGCGATACGTATCACGATATATTGTATAATTCTAAGTTTTTAATTCAGAAGCAATCTGATACATTTAGGTATGAACTGAAGTTCATAAATGGAACAAAACAAGATGCTGGTTCTACATAATGTTTACTCATTCAAAAAAATATGCAGCCATCTTGGGGCCCCAGATGCTCGCTCCTGGGCAGTGAAGGTATTTAGTAAGTATGTATTTAACACATGATCAAAATCCCAATTTGAAATCACCCGATATATCGAGCATGGAAAAATGATATTGTGATATGTATTGTGGAAAGAATGAACCCAAATTTACCGCTATACCGGTGATACCTCACAACCTTACACTATATATAGATGAGCTGCCATGCACCACTTCTAGAGCTCCAGATATTATGAGCGCGTCATTTGCTGCCACTAACAATCACCAGATATATATATGACCGTGTCATGGCTCTTATTTTCTCCTTGTAAGCTGTTCTACTGCCGTGAGCGTATGATGTTAGTTGATAAAAGATCCTACTCATGAAGTTCTTGATGTTGTCATTATTACGGCATAGTTAGTCCACAAGAAGTGTTGTAAGTAGAGGTGGCTGAAAAGATTGATAATCGGAATTATTGTCGATTGGAAGAAATATTAACGATTATTGATATGAAATTGTTGTCATCGATGATAACTTACATAAACTATTTAATGAAATAAAAGTTTACATTTACCGAAACAGATTGTTATTGTCAATCATGTCAATTGTCGAAGACTGTTTTCATTAAGTCTCAAATGTCCACAAAGTAATCTATGCATAAATGTGTGTTACTGCTCACCAGTGGTGTGAAATATGTTGATTTCTTGCCAGGCTTCCTTGCATATTAGCTTAATGTTACTTATCCGATATTTATCAATAATTAAGCGGTTATCAATCTCTGTGATCTGTATCGACAACCAGCCCTAGTTGTGAGTTCACAAAATCTTTAACTCGTAACATTTGCTTACAAAACTTTGTATCACATGGCATTACAAACACCGATTTAGTGATGTTTACCTTGTCATCCATTATTTCGCACCCACTAAATTGTAATTTCATTTTGAATTACTTAAGATTTTTATCAATCAATGTGATACGATAATCAGGGAATCACTTTCCAAACTATGCGTCCCTGCCGATGTTTTCAGTATGCTATCAGCTCTAGTCTGACTCAGTCACTGTGAGCATTTCAATACCACTTCCTTCTCATTGGATCGTAACATTTGAATTGTGCTGGTTTCGTGTTGTGGAGATCTGAATGTGTAAATGTATATACTGTATTCGACGTAATAAGCGCCCCGCTCTAATAAGCGCCCACGGGGATATTTGCTAATATATTGGCTAGTGATTAATCCCAATTAGCACTCCTTCCGACTGATCAATGTACACAAGACTTATTTATTCGCGTATAATATGCACTCGTGTGTTCTATGCACCCTTAATTATGGGCAATTAAATTCTGGAAAAATATATTTGTCGTATATAAACATTTCAGGCTGTCAGCATTAACCACGAAATTTACAATCTTTCAACTCTGTATTTTTCACCTAAATAATATTCTAATAAGAGCCCCCTAGTTCTAATCTGAGAGCACCCTGGGCGCTTATTATGTCAAATACGGTACCCATAGACACAAAACATTTGTCCGGGGACTGACTTCAGAAAGGCTGATATGTATACTGTATATTGTGCCTCAGTAGACTGTGTGACGAGACTCTTACTAGAGGGGAATGATCACTTCCTGGTTTGCTCAGCCTGTCTACCCAATGTATTCAGATAACACAGCTACATTCCACTGTATAAACTGGGATCTGAATATCACCAAGCACTTCGACACTGTCACACCCTGAAGTGAAGTGATGAATCTATTAATAGATACAGTGTCGTATATCTCTGTAGTCCGTGATACACCTATGTAATATTACAGAACTCCCTGCTTTAACTGTTATGTATATTAGATAACACCTATCAGTAGGCTTCTATGCATATTTCTTAACATGGCTGGCATGGATATGTTGCTATGTCTATATCAAGGAAGTGATTGAAGTAGTTTGTGAAATGAGCTAAAGAGTCTATTAGCTCCAAAATGGGGAACTATTATGGTCTGGTCAGGGTTAAAAACACTATTTTCACTAGTCTGCAAACATCTGCAAGAGAGATGCCATCTACCTACTCATATGGTACAAGTGATAGTACACAAGGAAATGTCTCTGGTCCTTCCTGAATGGTCTCAGAATATAGGACTTACCGTATTCGACGTAATAAGTGCCCGTAAGCGCTCTCAAAATAAGTAATAGGGGGCTCTTATTAGATTAAAATTTTGGTGAAAAATAAACAGAGTTGAAAGATCGTAAATATGGGGTGCATATAACACACGAGTGCGTATTATACACGAATAAATAAGTCTTGCGTACATTGATCAATTGGACTAGGTGCTAATGGGGATTGTTCATTAGCCAATATATTAGCAAATATCGCTGTGGGCGCTTATTAGAGCTAAGAGCTTATTACGTTGAATACCGTATGTCAATTTCAAACATTGTTGGTTCACTACACCCAAATCTGTTTTAGTTTAATTTGAACATGTTATTTACCTGTAGGCTGTGTCAGAATATCATTTGATAATGTCAAATATTCACTATTGCTTTAGTTTGTAATAATTTAAAATAATAATATATAATAAAATATTTGTCAAGTTACTGCTGTTATGTTGGTATGGTCAGTAGCTCCAATGCTGTAACGTAGCACGAATATGAAGAGATGCTTGTCAAAACCCATTGTTTTTACGCACAAATTTAAAACGTGAGGATTCCCCTTTTTCAACACTCTGATGTATGTTTTTTAATATGAAATCAGACAGGTGAGATGCATTATTATGTACAGAGAAGCTTGTCTCTCAAGTATTTGCAATTGATTGATTTAATAATTAATGTCCAATTATTGCTGTTCTATCAGAAGAGCAAATTAAGTTTATTGATGTTTTAGGACATATCAGAATAAGCAGGTGAGCTACAAAGCATCTGTCTGTATTTAGTACTTGACGTCCCCGCTGTTGTTGTAGGTGCCACAGCGAAGCTGTTGACAGCGCTGTACGACTATGAGGCCCGGTCTAATGATGACCTGTCGTTCAGGAAGGGGGACCAGATGGAGCTGCTTGACGAAAGGTAGGGTTGGTGGTGAATGAATGCTTGACAACAGGTAGAATGAGTGAGTAAATGCTTGATGGCATGTAGGGAGTGATTGAATGAGTGGCAACTGGTAGAGTTAACGACAGGTAGAGTGAGTGAATGTTTAACGACAGTGAGTGAATGTTAAACGACAGTGAGTGAATGTTAAACGAACGACAGGTAGAGTGAGTGAATGTTTAACAACAGGTAGAGTGAGTGAATGTTTAACAACAGGTAGAGTGAGTGAATGTTTAAGGACTGGTAGAGTGAGTGAATGTTTAACAACTGGTAGAGAGAGTGAATGTTTAATGACAGGTAGAGTGAGTGAATGTTTAACAACAGGTAGAGTAAGTGAATGTTTAAGGACTGGTAGAGTGAGTGAATGTTTAACAACAGGTAGAGTGAGTGAATGTTTAACGACAGGTAGAGTGAGTGAATGTTTAACAACAGGTAGAGTGAGTGAATGTTTAACACCTGGTAGAGTGAGTGAATGTTTAACGACTGGTAGAGTGAGTGAATGTTTAACAACTGGTAGAGTGAGTGAATGTTTAACAACAGTGAGTGAATGTTAAACGACAGGTAGAGTGAGTGAATGTTTAACAACAGGTAGAGTGAGTGAATGTTTAACAACAGGTAGAGTGAGTGAATGTTTAACAACTGGTAGAGTGAGTGAATGTTTAACAACAGTGAGTGAATGTTAAACGACAGGTAGAGTGAGTGAATGTTTAACGACAGGTAGAGTGAGTGAATGTTTAATGACAGGTAGATTCAGTGAACGTTTAACAACAGGTAGAGTGAGTGAATGGGTGAACACTGGATGACAGGTATAGTGAGTGAGTGAGTGAATGCTTGATGACAGTGAGTGAGTGAGTGAATGCTTGATGACAGGGAGTGTGAGTGAGTGAGTAAATGCTTGATGACAGTGAGTGAGTGAGTGAATGCTTGATGACAGTGAGTGAGTGAGTGAGTGAATGCTTGATGACAGTGAGTGAGTGAGTGAATGCTTGATGACAGGGAGTGTGAGTGAGTGAGTAAATGCTTGATGACAGTGAGTGAGTGAGTGAATGCTTGATGACAGTGAGTGAGTGAGTGAGTAAATGCTTGAGGACAGTGAGTGAATGCTTGATGACAGTGAGTGAGTGAGTGAGTAAATGCTTGATGACAGTGAGTGAGTGAGTGAATGCTTGATGACAGTGAGTGAGTGAGTGAGTAAATGCTTGATGACAGTGAGTGAGTGAGTGAGTAAATGCTTGATGACAGTGAATGAGTGAGTGAATGCTTGATGACAGGTACATTCAGTAACCAAAGGTCGTGAGACAATACATTCAAAGAACAATTGGCCATTACATCTTTTGGGCTAAAAAAGGAAATGTTCAATATATGAACTCAATGAACTAATGAATGAACTAATGAATCAGTACTGACAGTGATTGGCTGCAGTTGATCTAACAATGTTCCGACTTCACATCCGGAGACTACGACAAGCAGGTCCTATAATACTCAACTTTCCACTTGGTATATCTATTGTTCCATGATTCATCAATCACCACTTATGATAAATATATATTAATAAACTGCTCACAAAACACAATCACTGGATTGTCTGGTCCAGACTTGATTGTTTACAGACTAACGTCATATAGCTAGATTATTACTGAGTGCGGCATTAAACAACAAACAAACAAAAGACGCTTAGTGCATGTAGACATAACTCTTAGGTTGCATTTCTATAAAAATTGGTTGAAGTGTCGCATGTTTTAAATAGCTGAATGGAGCCCTGATGGTCTAATTAAGTGGTTATTAGTATTTACACATTGTTTCCTCTCACCAGTCCTAATTCAGACATACTCTCAAAAAGCTTACATGTGTGTAGTGCACTTCAAAGAAACAGCCACTTCCTTGTCGAGTTTACACAAATTTCAAATAAGGAAGTAGTGATTGTTTACTTTTTTTTTGCGCATAACATGTTCTTGTAGCTAGGCGGCTCTTATGGGAATAAAATTTTGGTGAAAAAAAAACAGAGTTCAAAGACCGTAAATTTTGTGGTTTATGCTGACAGCCTGAAACGTTTATATACGACAGATATATTTTTCCAGGATTTAATTGGCCATAAGTAAGAGACATATAACACACGAGTGAGTATTATACACGAATAAATAAGTCTTGTGTACATTGATCAATCGGAAGGGGTGCTAATTGGGATTGTTCACTAGCCAATATATTAGCAAATATCGCTGTGGGCGCTTATTAGAGCGGGGTGCTTATTACATCGAATACGGTATATTTTTTTATATTTTTTATGTGTGAGTGTAGAATTATCAGGATTAGAAATTAACATAAGTCTGCTATTCTGAGACAAGTTAACTTCAGGAAGGACAAGTGGCATTTCCTTGAGTACCTCCAGTTTTACCATTTAGTAGATCTATCCATAGCAGACAATTTTTGCAGACAGATGAAAATAAAAGTAATTTTCTAACCCTAATTTTTATTCATGATAAACAAAATGGTCAGCTTCCTTGGAGAGTTTAATGTGTTGAGTGTAGGTGTTATTTAACAGCACTTTGCAGGCAAAATAGCCATGATGGAAATAAAAAATGTATCCAATGTATTCATGTAAACTCGGGTCTGGGCGTATAAGCAAGCGCTGCTTGGATCCACTGACTGGGTTAATTATGATGTGAATGGAGCATGCTTTGGGGTGTGGATTTGACTCATTATAGATATGAACGTTGTTGTTGTTGTTGTTGTTGTTGTTGTTGTTGTTGTTGTTGTTCATTTTGGTTGGCTTCAATTACATGCTCCAAGGGTATGATACATGCTTCAGTCCAGGCTGCATGATGTGTTTCAGTGATGGAGACTGGTGGCTGGCCAAGCATGAGAACGGTCAGGAGGGTTACGTCCCAAGCAACTACGTGGCCATGGAAAATACACTGGAGTCTCAAGAGTAAGTGCTGGATGAATTTTCCAATATTTAAGAACACTGTATACATGTATGTACCAAGGAATGCTATGGGGTATATTCTGATAACTGAGGAATACTATGGGACATATTCTGTTATTGAGGAACACTATTGGACATATTCTGATGTTGAGGAACACTATTGGACATATTCTGATACTGAGGAACTCTATGGGACATATTCTGATACTGAGGAACACTATTGGACATATTCTGATATTGAGGAACACTATGGGGTATATTCTGATAACTAAGGAACACTGTAGGACATATTTGGATATTGAGGAACACTATGGGACATATTCTGATAACTAAGGAACACTATGGGGTATATTCTGATAACTAAGGAACACTATGGGACATATTCTGATATTGAAGAATGCTATGGGCCATATTCTGATACTGAGGAACACTATGGGGTCTCTTCTGATAACTAAGGAACACTATGGGACATATTCTGATATTGGGGAACACTATTGGACATATTTTGTTATTGAGGAACACTATGGGACATATTCTGATACGAAGGAACACTATGGGGTATATTCTGATAACTAAGGAACACTATGGGACATATTCTGATATTGAGGAATGCTATGGGCCATATTCTGATACTGAGGAACACTATGGGGTATATTCTGATAACTAAGGAACGCTATGGGACATATTCTGATATTGAGGAATGCTATGGGCCATATTCTGATACTGAGGAACACTATGGGCCATATTCTGATACTGAGGAACACTATGGGCCATATTCTGATATTGAGGAACACTATGGGCCATATTCTGATACTGAGGAACACAATGAGACATATAGTCTGATATTGGCAACACTCTGAGTAACACTGTGATGTTTTGATTGTGTGATTTTGTGTTTCAGATGGTTCTTTGGGAAGGTCACAAGGAAGGAAACGGAGCGTCAGCTGCTTCTTCCCGGGCTTCGCCCCGGAACCTTCCTCATCCGAGAAAGTGAAACATGCCCAGGTGAGCCCCTAGCATAGCTTTGTGAAGCACCACCAAACCACTACCCCACCAAACCAGTACCCCACCAAACTGCATCCCACGTGAGAGCCCTATAGCATAGCTTAGCGAAACCCTCCCAGGTGAGAGCCCTATAGCAAAGACTAGTGAAATCATCCCACGGGAGAGCCCTATAGCATAGCTTAGCGAAACCCTCCCAGGTCAGAGCCCAATAGAGGAGACTGGTGAAATCATCCCACGTGAGAGCCCTATAGCATAGCTTAGCGAAACCCTCCCAGGTCAGAGCCCAATAGAGGAGACTGGTGAAATCATCCCACGTGAGCGCCCTATAGCATAGCTTAGCGAAACCCTCCCAGGTCAGAGCCCTATAGCAAAGACTAGTGAAATCATCCCACGGGAGAGCCCTATAGCATAGCTTAGCGAAACCCTCCCAGGTCAGAGCCCAAAAGAGGAGACTGGTGAAATCATCCCACGTGAGAGCCCTATAGCATAGCTTAGCGAAACCCTCCCAGGTCAGAGCCCAATAGAGGAGACTGGTGAAATCATCCCACGTGAGACCCCTATAGCATAGCTTAGCGAAACCCTCCCAGGTCAGAGCCCAATAGAGGAGACTGGTGAAATCATCCCACGTGAGCGCCCTATAGCTTAGCTTAGCGAAACCCTCCCAGGTGAAACCCCTAAAAGCAAAGGCTAGTGAAACCCTCCCAGGTGAGAGCCCTATAGCAAAGACTAGTGAAAACATCCCACGTGAGAGCCCTATAGTAAAGACTAGTGAAATCATCCCACGGGAGAGCCCTATAGTAAAGACTAGTGAAATCATCCCACGGGAGACCCCTATAGCGTAACGTAAATTGGCCATGTGAATCCCGGCTTCACCCTCGAGCCCTACTCTCCTGCAACTCTCTTCCCTTGGCTTTACACTCCAAACTTATCTATCCTACATGCGTGGGGAAGTAACTCCTTACTGTTGATCTCTCTCTACAGGTGCGTTTGTGTTGTCTGTGCGAGACAATGACGCGGCGAAGGGGAACTGCGTGAAGCACTACAAGGTGCGCAACATGGACAGCGGAGGCTGCTACATCACCCCGAGGAAGACCTTCACCAACCTGATAGAGATTGTCAACCACTACCATGGTAACAGCGGTTTGCTCTCAGTTTGCTTGCATGTAAAGGTAGCATAACCATGCCACTGTTGTCACAAGCATGGACATCATGTCAAGATATGGGAAGTGATGGTCCCCAAGTGATATTTCAAATAAGAATTTAACAGGGACAGACTTGTTTTATGTGTTCTTAGATTTCAGCCATGGGAGCCGTGCCAGTTTACACTTGTCAGAGGGGTACACAAAGTACCTGATCTAGACTACCAGTTGTCGGACTTTCATGTTTTATTGTGATTTAAATTCAGCCCTTAACCAAGGTGAATGAGATATTTTGTGAGTGGAACAGTATAAGTCAATAGTGATATTCATCTACACCATTCTTAGGAATAGTGTATTGCTCTGTTGTTAGAGAGATCTGTAAAAGACCTTGGTTAAATTTCGTGAATGTTGTTGGTCTGACCTTTGTGACTCGGTAGCTCTTACTTTGTGATGAGATAGTTCACTCTTGTATCATGTTCATCTGAGACCTCAGACAAGTTCCTACTGAAAAATTTGGAATATTTTGCTTGTGATAAACCTTTTGAAATCTTATTGTGCTGGGACAGAAGAAGATTGGGTCTTTAAATGAGAGATGTTGGCAAAGCATGTTGTGAGGAGATGTTCAGAGAAACTGCTTCTACATGGTTGCCTGGCCTGACCCATCAGATTTGTCTTTACAGATAATTCGGACGGTCTCTGCCAGAAACTGACTGACTCATGTCCAAAACCAAAGCCTGTGATGGAGGACTTGTCCCGGGAAACCAAAGACACCTGGGAAATTCCTCGTGAATCTTTGACTCTCGCCAAACGTCTTGGTGCTGGTCAGTTTGGAGAAGTATGGAGAGGTGGGTATTGGGGGTCGGGATGGTGGGCGTCAGGGCCAAGTTGGTTCATTTTGTGTTTTGTCACCTCAGAACCTCACCGTTGTGATTGAACTTGTGATTAGAATGAGTTGAATATATAATTATGTTTCCCGTACAAGCAAGTGATGAATGGTTGATTATATAATTATGTTTCTGTTCAAGTAAGTGGATGAATGGTTGAATTATGTTTCAATACAAGCAGGTGGATGAATGGTTGAATTATGTTTCTGTACATGTAAGTGGATGAATGGTTGAATTATGTTTCTGTACATGTAAGTGGATGAATGGTTTAATTATACCCCTGTTTACGAATTAAATCGGGGGTATGTAGCGTTCCGTTCATCCGTCCTTCCGTCCGGGCTTTCGTACAGCCCATAACTTTTTAACCATGCACCCTAGCTTCACCAAACTTGCTACACACATTTACCACAATGAGTACTTGTGCCTTTTGCTAGTTTGAAGATTCTGAACTTTTTAATTTTTGCCGTTTCCATGGAAACATTAGGAACTTAAACTTTTAGGGTGGGTGTTTTGTACGGCCTATATCTTTTTAACTATGCACCCTAGCTTCACCAAACTTTCTACACACATTAAACACAATGAGTACTTGAGCCTTTTGCTAGTTTGAAGATTCTGATTTTTTTTTATTTTTGCCGTTTCCATGGAATCATGGTGAAACATAAATTTTGGGTAGAGTTTTTGTACGATCCATGTTTACAATATTATGTATCCTAGCTTCAGCAAACTTGCTACATTAACCGATATGGTTTGTTTTTTTATCTTTTATAACATTCTGAAAGTTTTGTCTTTTGCTGTTTTCATGGAAACATGATGGAATTTAGAAGTTTTGATGACTGGTTTTGTATACCTAATATATTTTCAAAAATTGTTTCCACACATGTAGATCATCATAAGTATTTGTGCTTTGTGATAGTTTGAATTTATGAATTCTTTACCATATCTGTTAAGGCTAGATGGAAATTATGAATTTATTGATTTTCTTATATGATATTGTTCCATTTTTTATGTGTTTTTATATCAACAACTTTTGGTCCTTTTGATAATTCTTCTTATGTAACTCCTCAATCAAATTTTTATTCAAAGGTGTTCATGGTGATCTACTTCCTCGTAGTGAACACTGGTGACATGGGAGATTTGGGGTGGGGGTGGGGTGGGGTGGGGTGGGGTGTCAATTGTCACTGGAACTCAATCTTAGTTTTTAAAACATTGAAGTTAAATTCAGTTAGAAATGTGTAATATTTCATTAATTAACAAACTATTTACTATTTGTTGTTGACCAGCGGGTATAACTGGGGTATGTGAGCTTTGCTCGCTTCTTTCTTGTTATGTTCCTGTAAGCATGGTAAAAGTAAGTGATGAATGGTTGAGTATATGATTATGTTTCTGTACAGGTAAATGGATGAACTCGACCGATGTTGCCATTAAGACCCTGAAGACAGGGACAATGACATCGGAAGCTTTCCTGGCTGAGGCCGCCATCATGAAGATGTGCAAGCATGACAAGCTGGTGCGCCTGTACGCTGTGTGCACCAAGGAGGAGCCCATCTACATCGTCACCGAGCTCATGAGCAACGGTGCTCTGCTGGAGTATCTGCGAGAAGGTGACGGCAAGACCATGGATATGATGCATCTTATAGACATGGCGGCACAGGTGAGGAGAACCTTCATTTTACTGGAAGAGAATATATGGATGTCAACTTTTTTATTATGAGGAACACAACGTTTCGGAGTGAATGATTGATGAAGGAGTAAGCATATGAATGATTCATTCACCTGATGAGGGAGTAAGCATATACTCTGAAACCTTGTCTTTCTCATAGTAAAGAAGTTGACATCCATATATTCTCTTCTTTATGTATATCACTTCTAAATGCCTTTCAAAGAGACCCGTGAAGATTCAGCAACCCATACTTGCCGTAAAAGGCGACTAACGGGATCGGATGGTCAGGCTCGCTGACTTGGTTGATACATGTTATCGCGTCTAATTGCATGGATCGATGCTCTTGATGTCAATCACTGGATTGTCTGGTCCAGACTCGATTATTTTACAAACCTCCGTCATTTAGCTGGAATATTGCTGAGTGCGGCTAAACAACAAACAAACATCAAAGACTTTCATTTTACTGATTATATATTACTCAAGAAAGGTTAAGGACCACCCGATTCTTTCATATTACTATAGTTACTCTGTCTAGTCATGGCATGCCGATTCTTACATATTACTATAGTTACTCTGTCTAGTCATGGCATGCCGATTCTTACATATTACTATAGTTACTCTGTCTAGTCATGGCATGCCGATTCTTACATATTACTATAATTACTCTGTCTAGTCATGGCATGCCGATTCTTTCATATTACTATAGTTACTCAGTCTTTTCATGGCATGCCGATTCTTTCATATTACTATAGTTACTCTGTCTAGTCATGGCATGCCGATTCTTTCATATTACTATAGTTACTCAGTCTTTTCATGGCATGCCGATTCTTTCATATTACTATAGTTACTTTGTCATGTCATGGCATGCTGATTCTTTCATATAACTATAGTTACAGATTAACTATGCTGATATGAAAGAATCGTGTGGTCCTTAACTTTTTTGAGTAGTGTATCTATGGAACTTGTGCTGGGTGCATGGGTCACCTACTTTTTGTAGAAAATTTATTGACTGGTGAACTGGGGCGTGGTATACAGCATGGATACTTATTGCCTCACAAAAGTTTTTGTAATCTTGATCTGCACCTTAGATGGTCGGTCCAGAAAGTGATAATGGTGGATGTTACATTTTGTCATACGCCAAGGTTTTCAGGGTTAACCTATTGTTGGCATAATTCTTGGGTGCTGTTTGCATTCATTAGAATAAGAACAAATATATTTCAAATTTGATATATTTTCATTGGAGTCATTGGAATATATAAACCAAAAAGGAAGTTATGCCTAAGCTTTTGTTTTTGTTTCAGATTTAAAATATGTATGTTGGTGAAAACTTATGCTATTGTAAACCTTTGTTTGGGCAGTAGAGCTAGAGTAGGTTTTTAACACTGATCGGTGTCTTCTGTATATTCAGATTGCCAATGGTATGGCGTTCCTGGAAAGGATGAAATTCATTCATCGAGATCTGGCTGCCAGAAACATCCTGGTGGGAGACAACAACATCTGCAAGGTCGCCGACTTTGGCCTGGCCAAGGTCATTGAGGATGACGAATACAATCCGAAACAAGGTGAGAAGAGACTTCATAAAACACCAAGGACAAATATGTACACAGACCAACATATGATATTGTTGGTTCATCGAAGTGCACCATATTCAGTAATTGTAGTCAGGTTTTTTTTATCTGCAGCAAAAGAATAAGATACGGCTTAGTTTACGAGAAATTACACACGGTAATCTTAATCTCTGCATATAAAACAATGCCTTTGAGAGCAGGAAATACATTTTAAATGGTGAATCATCATGTCTAGTGATGTTTATATCAAATTTCATACTTTTATTGACCAAGTTTGTTATAGATCTATCTGCTTATTCACCTGAAGCGATACAATGTGTTGGTTTTTTTAAAGCGCATGTTATAAACTCTGAAATGTGCAACATAGATTGTGTTAGGTAGGCAGAGCATATACTGTTTTGTTGGTCATCTACCACCTACGACTCAACCTTCGTTAAACCGCTGATCATCTATAACGCTCATCAATTATTTGGACCCCGAAGGTAGCGTTGTAGCGAGGGATGACTGTACATAAGTTTCTGGCACACGGACCAACTCATCATTGCAACCTTGAATTAAGTAGTTAATAAAAAATGACATGAAATAAATAATAATAAGATAAATACCCTTCCTTCTTATCCTTAGTTCAGGTCATGTTGGCTTTGACTTTTGGGGGGGCACATATAGGACTGGGACGAGTCCAAATTTAGACGCAGGTTCTCGATCCCCAGTACCTGACCCTACCTGGGTACCCACTGTAGGTCTCAAGAGTTGTGTCCATTTGGGAATTGTTTTACTGCGGCCCTGGGAGCTGACTCTGTATGGAGCACAGATGCAGTCAGTGGTACTTTGCTCTATCATGCTAGTAAGACACGTATAAGAGTGCCATTATTTGAATGAAAGACTAAAATGTGTTCATTGTGCACAGGAGCTAAATTCCCCATCAAGTGGACTGCCCCGGAAGCAGCACTCTACGGCAAGTTCACAATAAAGTCAGATGTGTGGTCATATGGTATACTACTGATGGAACTCATCACACGAGGACAAGTGCCTTACCCTGGTGAGTTGTCTCCCCTTATTCCATACTCTGAAGTTGTATCAGCCAATCACTGCTTGCACTAAAGTTTTCTCCCCTGTGTCTTGTATCAACCAATCGCTGCTTGTACTAATGTTGTCTCCCCTCTGTCTTGTATCAACCAATCACTGCTTGCACTAAAGTTGTCTCCCCTGTGTCTTGTATCAACTAATCGCTGCTTGCACTAAAGTTGTCTCCCCTGTGTCTTGTATCAACTAATCACTGCTTGTACTAATGTTGTCTCCCCTCTGTCTTGTATCAACCAATCACTGCTTGCACTAAAGTTGTCTCCCCTGTGTCTTGTATCAACTAATCGCTGCTTGCACTAAAGTTGTCTCCCCTGTGTCTTGTATCAACTAATCACTGCTTGCACTAAAGTTGTCTCCCCTGTGTCTTGTATCAACCAATCGCAGCTTGCACTAATGTTGTCTCCCCTCTCTCTTGTATCAACCAATCACTGCTTGCACTAAAGTTGTCTCCCCTCTGTCTTGTATCAACCAATCACTGCTTGCACTAAAGTTGCCTTCCCTCTGTCTTGTGTCAACCGATCACTGCTTGCACTAAAGTTGCCTCCCTTGTGTCTTTTATCAACCAATCACTGCTTGCACTAAAGTTGTCTCCCCTGTGTCTTGTATCAACCAATTGCTGCTTGCACTAAAGTTGCCTTCCCTCTGTCTTGTGTCAACCGATCACTGCATACCCTTGTGTGTTGTATCATCCAATCACTGCATACACTAAAGTTGTCTCCCTTGTGTGTTGTATCAGCCAATCACTGCATACACTAAAGTTGTCTCCCTTGTGCCTTGTATCAGCCAATCACTGCATACACTAAAGTTGTCTCCCTTGTGCCTTGTATAAGCCAATCACTGCATACACTAAAGTTGTCTCCCCTGTGTCTCGTATCAACTTATCGCTGCTTGCACTAATGTTGTCTCCCCTCTGCCTTGTATCAGCCAATCACTGCATACACTAAAGTTGTCTCCCCTCGTGTCTTGTATCAACCAATCACTGCATACACTAAAGCTGTCTCCCTTGTGTCTTGTATCAGCCAATCACTGCATACACTAAAGTTGTCTCTCTTGTGTCTTGTGTCAGCCAATCACTGCATGCACTAAAGTTGTCTACTAAAGTAAACAGCAATAAACAGTCTTAATTGTAAAAGTACAGCTAACCTGCTTCAGTGGCAGAGAAATTAGTGATGTCATAACGGTGAAAGTAACCATAACATCACAATGGTCTGTAAATTTCATTGCAGCAATACTCCAAGGAGAACTTGCTTGATCTCACCCAAGCAATATTACCAGTGAAGGCAAGATTTGGATGATAAAACAAAATGCCTCCTCTATTTCAGGTATGAGCAACCGGGATGTACTGGACCAGGTGGAGAAGGGCTACCGCATGCCGAGACCGCGACTTTGCCCTGAAGGAGCATATGACACCATGTTAAAATGCTGGGACAAGAAGGCTGACAATAGACCCACATTCGAGTATCTCTTCACATACTTTGACGATTTCTTCATCTCGTCAGAGGGAAGCTATAAGGAGACAGATTAAAGACACATCCTCTTAGGATGTCTGCTATTCAACCATTAGTGCTTCGTTGATGTTAAACAAAACCTGGCACTGAAGACATTGTGTTTGTTATGCCATGCGTCAAAGATGCTGGTGTATTTGACAAAACATGTTTTGTTTTTTATCCCATTACTGTAACAGTATATGTGGGATCTTTGTCATTTTTGTAATGAAATCATACAAGGATCATCCTGTTCAAAAAGAGACTATGTTTTGTTTTTACTAACACGACAAGTGAAGTGACATATTGAATTTTGCGAATTTCCTGTAACTTACAGTTATGTCAATTCCTGGGATAATAAGTAGTGTGACATACTAAACTTATTTATTTGTAAATTTGAATATTTTGGAATCGATTGACGCTTTTCAATTATGTCTTCCTGTTACAACATGAACGTGTCTCTAAATCTTGCCATGGATGAGTTTTATACCACAGTTGTCTCAAGGTAGGGCTTGTATTCACGACAGGAACCAACTCCTGGAACATTGTTCTTTTGGTGAATTTTGTTTTGCAAAACTGATGCAATGCCATTTTGTCACGTTAGAAAGTTGACATGAAGATCACAGGTCAAGGACCACTTGCCGTGTGCCATGCCTATGACCATGTTAATACTGTTGGGAACTTGGGAGAAGATTATGTTTAGAATGACCATGATATATCCTGAACATTTTTTTAAATATTATTTATCAACATTGTATATGCAGAAAGCTGAAGATATTTTTACAAGGAAGGTATGGAAACCTATGGAGTTTTAGGATATCAGATGGTGAATATCAGAACAAAGTTTGAGATTGTTTATTTACTGTTGTATCATGTATATTTCGAGTGTATTCGGTCAGACATTTTAGTTCATATTTCAACTTACTTGATAATTACAGGTATTTTTTTGTTGATTTATCATGTTTATGTTTACACCTGCTTGATGTATACAAACCAGTCAACTCTTCTAGTTTGTATAAACTTCTCACCTATTTTCACGGAATGGTTTTCTGTCTTTTCAAGTATTACCACAAGCTTTCAGTACTTTGTGCAATTCATTATGTTTGTTGAGATTTGATAGTAAGGGATGACTTCATTTTTTCAAATTATCATTTGACAATGTCCATTTTTGTTGTTGTGTAAATCTGATTTCAAGCAGGCTCTGATTCAGATTCGAACATTTTGAAAAAGTTGTCTATGGATGGATGTTGCATTTTGCAGCATGAAACAGCCTACACTCATTCCATAAATGAAGGAAGGCATGAAATTGTCGTTTCACATTTCTATTTGATGAATAACGCCAACTCTCAGTTCAACTTCAGCAACTTAATGTATCTGCGAATCACCATGAAGTGTAGGTCTTTTTAGGATCCACCATAGTGCTTGGCGATAAGGGAGATAACTTCCCAAATCACTAATATGCATGCCACTAGAAATTACACTAATGTCTTTTAAGGCCTATGGAGATGAAGGATGGTAAAGTCACAAAACTGAAAATGATTTTGAATATTATGAACCATGTGAGACCTCTTACTGTGCTTTATGTAAAATATGGGAGAGATTTCAAAGGATATACAGGTGCTTTTTGACAGAAATGAAGCAAGCCTTATTTCAGATGTGGTTGTGGCCTTTACTCTCTCAGGTATGGCGCAAGAACTTCTAACATTTTCAGCCTGTGTTGCAAGATGGGACGATTATTGACTCTGAATGTGATGATTTTATGAGATTGGATTGTACAGAAACAAATTGAGTTTTGTCGGTACCAAATATTTGCCATACTCGCTAACTATTGAAGCAGTCAATATTCATTGTGCCGTTTCTGAACAAAAGCTGTCTTAATAGAAAATGATGCAATTGTTCATGTATGCAATCAGACGTTTTAAACATCATGTACACTTATGATCTTTGGTAGATCTCTACAGGTTTTATTAAACAATACCAGGAGTGAAATTATTAATTCATAATTTAAATTGCATATTTATGTATTTAAAAAAATATATTTTTGAATTACTAAATCAAAAGGAACACTATAGTTCAAGTTCAAGTATTTTAAGTGTCATTGAACTCTTTACATCTGATCTATCAAATACCTTATTTTGAAGAGATATATGATTATTATGTCCTACGATTGTACTGTGTTTTAAGCATTTCTTCAAAGCAGAGCTATTTTGAGGATTAGCTAAGATCATTTGGTAGTAAATTGTCTGTGGTTTTAATCATTTTCAAATTTCATATAGCTGTGGCCACTTTATGTGTACATTGTGAATTTATGCTAATTTTTAATGTACCATATATATTTATGTTTTATCAAGTAACCTATATTTTAGAAGCACATTGTTTTTAAACGGGTATAAGTCCCAAACTACTTAAACAACCACAAACTCTAGCATTCCCGCTTACAGTTTCCAGCTGTAGTCACGTACGGATCAATCACATCTTTATAGATCTTTTATTTTGACAGACAGTTGTATGTTTACATTTTGTTGCCACTGTTTGAAGATATGATTATTCCCCTTTGTAGCCAATCCAGTCAACCTGAAACAACCGAAGGGGCGGTCGGGTAGCCTAATGGTTAAAGCGTTCGCTCGTCACGCCGAAGACCCGGGTTCGATTCCCGACATGGGTACAATGTAACATGTAACATGGGTAACAACATGTTAATTCATTTTATTTCTGTTTGGGATAAAACAAAATCAACTTCAACAGCTTACGTACCATTCTTATACACATAAGCAGAAAATAGAAGTTGTTATTTTATTGCACCCATTTGCAAAATACATCATTGCAACTTATCCTTTTCATAGATGTATTTTGATTGTGTCAAGTGCCTAGCTATATTTGAAAGCAGTTGAGCAGTTATTTTTTAGGTATTGACCAACCTTTCTATGATATCTGATTCCCGACATGGGTACAATGTGTGAAGCCCATTTCTGGTGTCCCCTGCCATGATATTCCTGGAATATTGCTTATATTGCTGAAAGAGGCGTAAAACCATACTCACTCACTCACTCACTCGCTCTTGGCAAGCTTGTAAAGATATTGTCATTGTGAGTGAAGCAATAAATTTAGTGCTCATCAATGATAAACTTTAATTGTAATTGTCTGTAACAATTGTTTAAGGTGCCTGAAATAATTTTGAAATATAATTTTTATAATTTATGAGAGAATTGATATATGATCTGATGTGTATGAAATTTGTCATATTTTTCCATACATCGAAACAGCATTCTTATACTACAAGGACTGGGATGGGTAACTCAGTAACTCAGGTTGAGGGTGGAAGAGAGAGAGAGCGTTGGGGTGTACCAACACAACTACCCTGACCTGTGGTTAGTCACTTGATATATTTTTTAATGACATTAGCAATGAAACTAATATTGCTAATATTCACATTTCTTTCTGACTATGCAATCATTTATTCAGACTTTTATATGTTGCCACATATAGGGCTGGATAGTAGGGTATCGATGAGGGTACAAAGAGTCACATTTTTCGGTTTGAGTAAAGTGCAATTTTTGTCAAAATAATTTTGTTTGTCCAACAAAGAATACATTTAGGGTTTAGTCAGTCATAGAAATACATGTCAAGAATAATAGAGTTACCTGCCCTTGTCATGTTAGAAACCAAGCTCCTCACAGTGATAGTACGTTCCCGGAGCTCTCTATACTATCGAGAGTGTAACGAAGGTGTCACGCGCTGGGAAGAAGCTTGGTTAGAAACTGACATGGTGCAAATGAGAAATGGAGACTTTATTTGGCCTCATAACAGAAGGACCCTAACTAGCATGAATCAATGAGTGATGGTGTGAGTGGAGGTCGAAGCGATTTCTGAAGTACCATCAGTACGACTCTAAGATTCATGTCTACAGTGTAATACAGATACCGTCAACCCTAGGACCTGGGTGCCATTGTACAAAGGGATCTTAGTGCTAAGGCTATCATAACTCCCATACCTTAAGGAAGGCCTAGGATCATCGCAGCGCTAAGGTTGTTTTGTACAATGGCGGCCCCGTTTCACAAAGCAAATTTAGAAGTAAGACGATTGTAACTCCAGTACTTTAATATAGACTTACGACAATCATAACGCTAAGATCAGGGCCCTTTCCCCCAAAGCGGTGTTAGGACTTCACTTCATGTTATGGTATGGGCGTTATGATGGTCATGAAGCTAAGGTAGTTTTGAGGAGCGAGTTAGCAAACTCAGGTTGTTTGTATCTGTAGGTTGTCATTCGGTCGTAGTATTGACTATTGGGGTCACAAATGGGTTGTATGTACTCAAGCAGCATTGATATGTCAGCTATATTTCACTGAAACGAGAAACCTTAATTTATTACATGAATTTACTGGGTCCGATTGTTATTGGGGCATAAATGGGTCAGTATATAAGGTGGGTTTATTTGGGTCCGATTATTATAAAGCGTGTTTTTTTAATATTTGTTTTACGTATCTACTTATACCAATTTTACAAATGTGCCATCATAATTTTGAGTCTCTTATTTTTTCTCCATCAAATCTGTCAACTATTTTGTTTTAATTAGATGAAGAGAAGTTTTCTTTGACTTTCATTGAAAAAATGTGTTTGATTTTGTTCTTTTCTATTTCGCCTTTTCAACAATTTGTTTTTAGAGATTACTTAATTTAATTCCTTTTTAGACTGCCGAAGGTTTGGGAACAGATATCCGTAAACCAAGCGATTAAAACAAAATAACCTAAGGACTCAAATGGTCCAATTATAAAAAGGGCTGAATTAGTGGGGTTATAAGAAAGGGATTAACGGGGAGTGGCGTGTTAATATACAGTCATGACTAAATGCGGTATAAGCACATCTGCTGGGTCACCAAGATATACAGTTTCTACTCCAGCAACACATATATATAGGGCAGAGAACAAACTACTTGTGTTTTTCTGTTACATTTCTGTACATAGTTGCCTCAGACAATGAAGTGAAGTTCTTTCCATCAGTGTGAAGAACTTAAGAGAACACTGTTAATATTCTTGATCTATTTCTGTCATTATCAATAAAGGCTGAGACGAGGAAAATATCTGTTTGTTACCTAACATGATTTTGAAACCTAGGAAAATAAAAATAACTAAGTGTTATTGATTCTGTTTGAGTCTTAATTTATCAATTGCAACTTGGACAGTAATATTGTACACTGAATCATGTTGAAAATATCATCTTTTAATATAAATACAAACATCTACCCAACAAGAGAGGGTACGGGCAGAGCAGATATCTTTTACGATGGCCTGGTCTTTATTCCACATCAGTGACAGGAATTATTGTGGACGGATGCATGTTGACAGTGTTCTTTTAATTACCATTGAAATTTTGCTTGTAAAGGATCATCTTGCCAAGGAAAGGTAGTAAACTGACTGTAAGAGTCCAGTTTCCACATGGAAACTGGACTTTTGTGGTCAGTTGTCTCCCTTGCTTCGGGAAGATGGTAATGGATCCATGGTTGACATGGATGAACCAGCTGGTTAGCCAAGGGTGTACAATTTACAAGATTGTCATCCAGGACTCTGTAGTGTGGTTTCTTATGCTCAAACTACCTTGTACATATAATATATCTTTCCAGGTTCAACCACAGACAATGATAAATGTCAATGTAATGTTTTTTTAATATACAAGTATTTGTCTTTTTAATTTTGCTTTGTTAATTTTATAGATTATTTGCCTGTAATCAGAATTGTTGACGTTTTTTATAATGATTTATGCGTTTTTCTACAGATAACAATCTATTACATGTCTATGATGCATGACTACGTTTTGATACCTTGTACATATCTCAAATTCATCCTCAGTCTAAATAAATACAAAAACAATGGAATTTGGTTGGGTTTTATATTTGAATAATTTTATTGCAAGATAATGCTCATTAAAAAAATAGGGGGCACGGGTGGCCAGATCATCTAAAGTGCCGATTCGCTCTGCAGAGTTGCGTCCCTTGGGCTCGCCAGAAACCTATGATTGTGGGTTCTGATCCCGGTTTGCCCCGATTATGTTTCTAGGTTTGTCAGCACCATACCCGTGCTCATGGGTTTCACCGAAGTGGTAAACGTCTGAGAGCTGCATCACTTCGGGCTTTCCTCCCACAGTAAGCTGACATGCTGTGATATAACTGGAATACTGTTAAAAGCGGAGTTAAACCAAACTCACTCACTCACTCTTTAAAGAAATAAATTGTTTGATACTCCTTGGGGGCGTTGGGGTAGCCTGGTGGTTTAAGCGTGCACTTGTCACGACGAGGACACGGTTCGATTCCCCACATGAGTACAATGTGTGAAGCCCATCTCTGGTGTGCCCTGCTGTGTTGTTGCTGAAGTTTGTTAAAACGGCGTAAAACCATACTCTCTCTCACTTCTCCATTTGTTGTTTGGAATGTCAGCCACGACTATGCCATATTGTTACATGATCGGTTTGCCTGTGCAATATTATGTAATCCTGAAATCTAGAATCGATTCATTGATATCATCATTAACCTCTCCCAGTGAGTCCCTTACCTATGTAGGGTAGGAAATGCTAAAAAAAATGATTTTTGACTGTTGTTATTGAAATATCGAGTAACTACCGATCGACCTACCTGTGGTTTGAAGTATTTCAGTCACAAGGAGTCCTATCGACAAGTTTACAGGAGAAAAATTCGAACGAAAACAGGAAGTTCAATGATGGCAGTCTGAAACGGGCTTAGAAATATGCGCACGTGACTCTGTTATAATGATAATAATGTAGTCTTCATAAAACATCTAATCCACACACACAAATTATTTTGAGAAAATTCTAGATGTGCATCTTCTAAAATGACAAAATGACGCTGTGTTTGTTTTGTCAACACTGCTCCCATGATGCATGTTACATCACACTTGCATAGCCATAGCCATAGTACACGACATGGAGTCTACGAGGAAATGTTTACAAGTTCTGAATACTTTAGAGAGATAAAAGAAAAACCATTTATTAATTTAGATAGGGTGAATTACCCAACTGCCCAAGCTATGGGTCTTTTCAATTCATACGATCAAGTGTACGGTATGATAAATAAAACAAAACAGGTTGGTCTCAAAAACAAAATCGGGACGTAAAAGGATTTTAGACAGCTTTGATACTGGGTGATTAGGCATATAGCGTACAAGCTTTATGAGCAGAAGGTAACCCTGACTTGTAGTAGAATTTGGGACGAAATTAAAGATACAATTAATGTTTCCCTGCACAAACTGTGGTACCATCAGGTAAAGGTAATCTTGTCATTGTTTTGCACGCTACAACCTATGATATGGAGCTTATTGATGGATGTGTACTAGTTTTCGCATCGAAAAAGAAATCTGATGATTTCTTTAAGGAAATTATAGGTGGTGATGTGTTCATAGACTGGTTGGAACATCAGCTATTGCCCATTTTAAACAATGTCAGTGTTATTGTCATGGATAACACCAGTTAATATAACGTCCGAGAATCAGATACTGTCGCCCCAACCATGAGCAGTCTGAAGGCGACCATACAGGAATATATGACATTGTCAACTTCAGACCATCTGAAACGAAAGTTCAACTCATGCAGAAAATTCGGCTGAATAAGAAACCAGTAAAATACAAGACATATGTGCTGCCGGCACAACATGGTCACGTCATCTTACGCACGCCAGTCAGACATTGTGAGCTCAACCCTGTTGTACCTATCTTGGCTATGTGTAAAGGGTTCGTGGCAAGACATAACACAACATTCAAAAGTACAGATTCATATATGTCATCAGCGGAGATAAATGCTACCTCAAGAAATAGTCTGTAGAACAACAAATACTACTTGATTCCAAAACCTCAACCTTCCAATACTCATAGCTCTTAACTAGTCCATCATGTTTCCAAGCAAATATAATGCAGTACACATCCAAAATTGCTGCTTCTTCAACGCACATGTCAACGCACATGTCAATTAAGTACAATAACAGCAATATTTTGAGACCAACCCCAACTCAGGTGACATTTGCACCTGTGAGAATGCACGGGACGGTGTGAGGTCATCAACTCGGGACAGGTGTTAGGTAATTACCTCAGGATATAGTCCGTTTCATACATGCATGACAACACACAAATATTTTCTAAGTTTATCATCATTTTACCTGTAAAAGCACATTTTAAGGGCAATCACTATGTCAGTAAGGACAGTCTATATTAGAACAATTCGTGTTATTTTGATTATGATCTTTTTATAGTCCTATGAAGCATTATTTATGAAATTAAACCAGAAAGCATTTTTCTAGCATTTCCCACAGTACTTTAATCATGCCTATTACTACCATTTTCTTGCTACTGTCATGTATCGTCATGCCATGCTGCCTGCTGTTACCAGGCAACAGGCAGAACCGGTGGCTAAACCGTCTACGGTGCCACAATTTGCTGTGCAGAGTCATGTCCCATAGGCACGCCAGAAACCTATGACTATGGTTTGAATCCCGGTTTTGTTTCTAGGTTTGTCAGCACCATACCTGTACTCATAGGTTTCACCAAAGAGGTCAAAATGTCGGAGACCTGCATCACTTCGGGCTTTCCTCCCACATTCAGCTGACCCGCTGTGATATAACTGGAATACTGTTCAAAGCAGGGATTAAACCCAACTTACTCACTCCCAAATTAAGCTGAAACACAGAGATATAACTGGAATATTGTTCAAAGCAGCGTTAAACCCAACGCATGCACACCACACAACAGATCTATCACACTCCTACATTACAAAGTAACAAGATCTCAATCATGTAAACATGTTTACTGTATGCATTTTCTGTAGAGATGATGCATTTGGGTACATTCAACTAGGTACTCATTGCAGGTTCATGAATAATTAAATGGGACCACTACACAAACTGTTTCTTATTACTTCTCGTGTTCCTATATTTCTTTCCACTCGTGTGATCCTATATTTCTTTCCAAATAGTTTATCTTCCACATAAATAGACCGCCTCAGGTGTCCAGTGGATAGAACATTTGCCCGGAAAGCCGAAGGTTAATTGCGGCTTGGTATGTCAATTGGCAAGCACAAGTTGTGACTAGTACAAGCAGCCACACATAGATGTTCATGTATGTTGCTATCGAAGTGAAATAATCTTGAACATGTTGTTAAACCCCATTTCACCTTACCTCCATATAGATACATGAATGCCATGAATTTTAGAAGACCTCAAAATAAAGATCTGATTCAAAGGTGTTTTGAGGATGAAATGTACAGACTTGTGAGTGCTGAAGTAAGTACCATATAAACTTGTTCCTGTCCAGCCACAGGTAAACTTGTTTCTGTCCAGCCCCAGGTAAACTTGTTCCTGTCGAGCCACAGGTAAACTTGTTCCTGTTTTGCCACAGGTAAACTTGTTACTGTCCAGCCAAAGGTAAACTTGTTCCTGTCAAGTACCAGGTGACTTGGTTCCTGTCAACCCCCAGGTAAACTTGTTCCTGTCAAGTACCAGGTGACTTGGTTCCTGTCAACCCCCAGGTAAACTTGTTCCTGTCAAGTACCAGGTGACTTGGTTCCTGTCCAGCCCCAGGTAAACTTGTTCCTGTCAAGTACCAGGTGACTTGGTTCCTGTCCAGCCCCAGGTAAACTGGTACCTGTCAAGTACCAGGTGACTTGGTTCCTGTCCAGCCCCAGGTAAACTTGTTCCTGTCAAGTACCAGGTCACCTGGTTCCTGTCCAGCCCCAGGTAAATTTGTTCCTGTCAAGTACCAGGTCACCTTGTTCCTGTCCAGCCCCAGGTAAATTTGTTCCTGTCAAGCCCCAGGTAAACTGGTTGCTGTCAAGCCCCAGGTCACCTGGTTCTTGTCCAGCCCCAGGTAAACTTGTACCTGTCCAGCCCCAGGTAAACTGGTTCCTGTTGAGCCCCAGGTCATCTTGTTCCTGTCAAGTACCAGGTAAACTTGTTCCTGTCTAGCAACAGGTCACCTTGTTCCTGTCCAGCCCCAGGTAAACTGGTTCCTGTCGAGCCCCAGGTCATCTTGTTCCTGTCAAGCCCCAGGTCATCTTGTTCCTGTCAAGCCCCAGGTCACCTTGTTCCTGTCCAGGCCCAGGTCATCTTGTTCCTGTCAAGTACCAGGTCACCTTGTTCCTGACAAGTACCAGGTCACCTTGTTCCGGTCAAGCCCCAGGTAAGCTGGTTCCTGTCCAGCCCCAGGTAAACTGGTTCCTGTCAAGTACCAGGTCACCTGGTTCCTGTCCAGCCCCAGGTAAGCTGGTTCCTGTCAAGTACCAGGTCACCTGGTTCCTGTCCAGCCCCAGGTTAACTGGTTCCTGTCAAGTACCAGGTCATCTTGTTCCTGTCAAGTACCAGGTCATCTTATTCCTGTCAAGTACCAGGTCACCTTGTTCCTGTCAAGTACCAGGTCACCTTGTTCCTGGCAAGTACCAGGTCATCTTGTTCCTGGCAAGTACCAGGTCACCTTGTTCCTGTCCAGCACCAGGTAAGCTGGTTCCTGTCAAGTACCAGGTCATCTTGTTCCTGTCAAGTACCAGGTCACCTTGTTCCTGTCAAGTACCAGGTCACCTTGTTCCTGTCAAGTACCAGGTCACCTTGTTCCTGTCAAGTACCAGGTCACCTTGTTCCTGTCAAGTACCAGGTCACCTTGTTCCTGTCAAGTACCAGGTCACCTTGTTCCTGTCCAGCCCCAGGTAAGCTGGTTCCTGTCCAGCCCAAGGTAAGCTGGTCCCTGACGAGTGAACAGCTGGAATTCCAGGTAAATTTAGGAAGAGATCATGTCTTGAATATACAACAAAAGACAACCTTTTCTGTTCATCTGGTATATTTAAAAAATAAATTGGTTTGCTTTTATAAAGTAAAATAAATGGATTACATTGCCATTACATGTAGGGGTGTAACGATACAGTGATACAATATTGTACCCTGATGCGAGTCCCACACAATTGTATTAAAATCAGATCTTAGATCTTGCTACCGATAAACAAAGATCTGAGGACATCCCATCGCGGGTCATGTCAGAATGACCTTTCATCCGACCAATCACAGCGTCGCTAATCAGATCAGGAAAGTGACAGTTGGAAAGTGTTTTCTAATCATGTTTTCTCAAAAGACTTAACACGGGGTATTTTGAATGACAGATACGGGCTTTATGACTGAATTCATACAATCTAGGTCATATATTAGCCAATCGAGAATTGAGAATTTGTGAAAAAATGTTTCAAAGCGTAGTCGCCAATTCGAAACTAGTACCATAAAGCACAAGAAAGCTGACTTCTGATTGGCTAATGTCGTCTTCTTGTCAAGCATTCCATTGGTGGGTCAATGTTCGCAAAAGGTCGGTCTGATGTAACCCGTAATCAGATGTCATCAGATCTTTGTTTAGCGGTAGCGAGAATTATAGGACCTGATTTTAATGAGATTGGCATCCCATGATACAATATATCAATTTACAATCCCTGTATCACGATACATATGATACATTACATTACAAGTAATATTGGTGTAATAACAGAAACTGTTCAACAACCAACTTACACATACTCTCCAGTATTGATATGTTGGCTATAAATAGCATCATCTTCACAGCGCCATCCAGCATATATATTTCTGACTACAATACCCCATGTTTGATCTCTGAAATTTACAAAGGATTCAGAGTTGTGATTTATCTGCAGCAAGAAAGAATATCAACTTAAAAATAATGTATTGGGATACGAATCATATTGCCGACATATTATTGGGATACATATCGTATCGCGACCCCACGGTAACGTTACACCTCAGATACCCTGTATATCAGATCAACGCACAAGTTACATACTGTACATAAGGCTAAAAAATAACAGTCTTGATTCTCAGGCACCGCCCACATCGTCATAAAGTCTGCCGCACATTTAATTTTTATTTCCATTTTTTTTTAAATTAAAAATCCTAATACTTAAAAAAATGCGATCCAAGTTACTTCCCTTTACATGCACACTGCTTTACTGCGCATCTCGTGTTATTGTCATGCCGGAAATAGGAGCTTGAATGCTTGTTTAAGTATGGAGGTCCTTTCCAAGATTGATGGTACACAGCTGTTTGTTTGGTTACAAACAACTTTGAACAAGCAAAACAACAACAAACAAGAAAACAGCATTATCACTATCCCCCGCCATGAGGCACATTAGAAGTTTATTTGTTCATATAGTAGTGAACAAAAACTATAAAAAAAGAGCCCCATGAAGCCTTAAGAAGCGATAAGCACTGGGGCCGCTTTTTGTCATCAGAAAAAAAAGATTAAATGTGAATTTAATGCACATAAAAGGCCCTTTCTCAGGAAAAAATAAGTCCATCTTGATAAGTATCTCTTTGATAAGCTAACTTTAGTTTCTGAGAAAACTTGCCCCCATTGCACAAATAACATGGATTGAAGGCCGTAGCTCTGTAAAGATTTAATTGACGGGACCATTTTTCGAACTCAGTCTTGACAAGTATCTTTTAGATAAGCATGCAAACTTTCATTCTTGTAGCTTCAGTAGTTTTTAAGAAAACTTGTCCCCATTGCAAACACTATGCACTAAGTTGAAAAACACAGGGCAAGGGCCATAACTCTGTAAAATAATATTTGACCAATTTTCAAACTGAGTCTTGACAAGTATCTCTTAGATAAGCATGCAAACTTTCATTCATTTAACTTCAATAGTTTCTGAGAAAAATTCATGGCGGGGGATAACAAATGCCCGCCCGTACTATATTTTCAAAAGTCATTGCCTGAGAACCAATTCTTTTATTTTTTTAAGCCTAACATAATTCATCACAGAATATAAAAAACTCATCACAGTGCAAATAATTAGACCTTGATACAATAACATACGTCAATGACTTAGACTATAAAGAAACATTGGGATACATCAAATACATCTGAATTATCGTTTAAAACAATGTGGCCCCCTAGGCCAGTTCTTCCCCTCTCTTTGTTTCCCCCTAGGCCAGTTCTTCCCCTCTCAATGTTTCCCCCTAGGCCAGTTCTTCCCCTCTCAATGTTTCCCCATAGGCCAGTTCTTCCCCTCTCAATGTTTCCCCATAGGCCAGTTCTTCCCCTCTCAATGTTTCCCCATAGGCCAGTTCTTCCCCTCTCAATGTTTCCCTATTGCAGGGATGTGAGCAGGTTTTCCCGAAAAAAGAGGAAAAGTCTAGGGTGGTCTGGGGGTATGCCCCCCCAGAAATTTTTAAAACATTTGATTGCATTTTAAGCAATTTCATGCAGTTTGGACAACATTCACACCAAGAAATGTAATAAGTCAATGGCAAAAGTCAATAAGTAAAATAAACAAGATGGCAGATGCAGTAAAATTTCGAAGTTAAATCAGTACTTTAAAAAAATCGGGCATAGCTTTCACGCACCTGGCTACCCGCCAGGTCTGGGAGCAATACTGCCATAAACTTCAACCCCCATCCCCCAGACACAAGGACAACTGTCACAAGTGTGCAATGTCTGACCCTTTCCCCATGTTGAAGCATATTGAAAAAAACTTACCTTGTACTTACCTTTTGATGAAAAAAACAAAACTCCATTGCCAACATAAGACATTAATACAATATATATCCCCATGACATGGGGTTTTGGACGCTGAAGAAACATTCATAAATTTCTCGCTTATCACATGAACAACTGTAAAACATCTCATTCACTTACAGGCTAAAAGACAACTTTATCTTAAAAACAAGCCATCAGCTGACTCTGAGTATTTACAATTTCTGTGTGACGCCATGCCCCACGTTATAGTGCAAGTATTCGTGACAGAAAACGTATGATGTCCGAAAACCTATGCTGTGAAAGCTCCGATCGAAAACAGGACAATCCGCGCCAATTGTCCGGTTTTCGATCATATTTTTCGGAGTGTTTTTTTTTAAATTTTTAAAAAAAATTCCGCGGAAGATGATTTTTTCCGAGGACTACTGTTTTAAAAAACGCGACTTTCCGCGTTTCCGCGGAGATTTCACATCCCTGCTATTGGCCAGTTCTTCCCCTCTCAATGTTTCCCCATAGGCCAGTTCTTCCCCTCTCAATGTTTCCCCCTAGGCCAGTTCTTCCCCTCTCAATGTTTCCCCCTAGGCCAGTTCTTCCCCTCTCAATGTTTCCCTATTGGCCAGTTCTTCCCCTCTCAATGTTTCCCCCTAGGCCAGTTCTTCCCCTCTCTTTGAAGTGTTAAATGTGGTGGTTATACTGAGAAATACTGTTTTCATTGACTAAAAGCTCAGGCTTTTGTTATATTACAATGTATGTTATATCAAACTACATTTTTTGTCAAATATATCTGGAATCTTGATATGAAAATCTCTACGTTCAGGTTCTGCATAGGGTTCCAAGGTATTCATAAGATTTTTAATGGGAAGATCCATCCCCCTCTTATGGTCAGCATATTTAAAATCGAGGGGGCAGGATCTGGCCTATGCTGAACCATTCACCTCTTATCGGTATGTTCAGCATATTTAAAATCGAGGGGGGCAGGATCTGGCCTATGCTGAACCATTCACCTCTTATCGGTATGTTCAGCATATTTAAAATCGAGGGGGCAGGATCTGGCCTATGCTGAACCATTCACCTCTTATCGGTATGTTCAGCATATCTGAAATCGAGGGGGCAGGATCTGGCCTATGCTGATCGAACCATTCACCTCTTATCGATATGTTAAGCATATCTGAAATCGAGGGGGCAGGATCTGGCCTAGGCTGAACCATTCACCTCTTATCTATATGTTCGGCATATCTGAAATCGAGGGGGCAGGATCTGGCCTAGGCTGAAGGTATAGCCTAGGCTATTTTGTCCTGGGGGAGAACTGGGCTAGTCCAAACCTTCCCTGAGAAGGAACTGAGGTGGACCCTATAATACCGGTCATGACACAGTGCAAAATTCCATCTCTGATCTTGCATCTTTAACATATATAGAACATATCTGTTAACAAACATAACGTAAGTGTCTATAGATATCTCTGCCTGGTGATTCTGGTGTATAAATGTCGCTTCTGCTATAGCCAGACTGAACACTTAAACAGTGTAACTACGAACAAAGCAGATAATCACAGATCCTTGGGTATTAACCGAATTAACATATGGTCACAGTGCAATAAACAGTAATTGATAACATATGCATATGTTACTTAATGCATACGACAATATTGCAACGTAACAAGTGCATTTATAGTTATCATGCAATGGGCAATACTTGAATATAAAAGATAACATTTGCAGTTTAACAAATTAACCAGCAGCCACTGATATCCATGGCTAAATCACGTCAAGATGGCCAGCACTACCAAGTACAATGTATGTAATTTCCACCACCAAATATATGTATGGTCATTGGACAAATCAAGAAAATGTCTTGTTAACAAAGGCCAACACTTTAAAGAGCAAAAAGTATAGCCCTATTTAGCATCTTTGGTCTGATTGCAGCAAAAGATTGCTTTCAAAAACACCAGTGACCTTGACCTTTAATATTGACCAGTGACCTTGACCTTTTCACATATTGCTCCATATGAATCATTGTCAATACTTCCCAGGTTTGTATACACTCTGTGTTCCTCCACCCATGAATGCATATGGACACTTTGAGGTCCCTATTTTAACCAAGTCAAGCCATGACCCACTTCCAACAAGAGGGACAGCAGTGAGGTGTCAGACCAATCAGAGCGCAGATTATATCAGCAATATTCCTTGTGTGACATGTGACATGGCCTTGCTGTCTCTACACATTTGCACTGTAGGGTTCGTACAAACTATATGGATGGACAAGGGATCATTTGACCTCCATGAGTTACACAAGGCCCCCAGAAAAACACCAACCTACGGATCAAGCATGGATTTCATTACCGGAGTTAAAAATGGGCATGTGACACTATAAAAATGCAAAGCTGCTGAATATATTCACCGTTGATGGAGGAACTCAGTGTATACAAACCCATGTAGGATTTTCGACTATAAATATGCACCTTGACTAGCACCAATATTACAAAAGTCTTGACCTGAGATAGAATGGTTTCTAATTTGCAGGCTTATTTTCACCAGTGATAAACTGACCCTTGAATGAAACGTTATTCCCTGAATGTCCCACAACCCACTTAAATGAGTTCTAGGAGGTTCTGGACACAGCTTGAGAGAACTGTTTTACTGATTTCCATGGTTACAAGACCCGAGTCTTCTCCAGCGAGGACATGATGATGGTGCGGATGACGGGCTGTGCATCCAGCTTCTCCCTGGCTTGTGTAACCGAGCACTGGAACAGGGTAGCCATCAGGGCCGTAGGGACGACCTGTAGCCGGAAAAATACATCCGTCATACCTGTAGCGGGCAAAATACATCTGTCATACCTGTAGGGGGCAAAATACATCCGTCATACCTGTAGCGGGCAAAATACATCCGTCATACCTGTAGCGGGACAAATACATCAGTTATACCTGTAGCGGGAAAAATACATCCGTCATACCTGTAGCGGGAAAAATACATCCGTCATACCTGTAGCGGGCCAAATACATCGATCATGCTGTCTTATGTGTAGGATACGTTTTTTTATGATATGTGAAGTTTGTGTGTTTGATCCTTGGGAATATAAAGAAAACATTTGTCATATGATTTTACATTTCATAACATTGCGTACGCACGCACGCACGCCACGCCACGCCACGCCACGCCACGCCACGCAACGCCACGCCACGCAACGCCACATACACACACTTCACCTCATCTTTTGTAGCAAACACACAGGCTGAAATGGATAAGCACCCTTGAGGACAGTTCATAACATATGTCGCATTTGTTGCTAATTTGGTCAATTTTCCAAGTACCCAGCGTGCTTAATACGTCAAATATATCACCCACTTTTACATAGGGTGTTAGTTGATAAGCTCACCCTGTGTTGGGGTGTGGCTGTCCGGATGTGTTCTGCTACGGGGGCTGTCCGTGTCTCTGCTGCCACACTGTCTGTGTTGTAGATGGAACGCAGCAAGTAGTCCTGGGCATCACTCTGGCTTAACTTGGAGTACCGCTGAAACAAGGCAACTCTGGCTTAACTTGGAGTACCGCTGAAACAAGGCAACTCTGGCTTAACTTGGAGTACCGCTGAAACAAGGCAACTCTGACTTAACTTGAAGTACGGCTGAAACAAGGCAACTCTGCCTTAACTTGGAGTACCCCGAAACAAGGCAACTCTGGCTTAACTTGGAGTACCGCTGAAACAAGGCAACTCTGGCTTAACTTGGAGTACCGCTGAAACAAGGCAACTCTGGCTTAACTTGGAGTACTGCTGAAACAAGGCAACTCTGGCTTAACTTGGAGTACCGCTGAAACAAGGCAACTCTGGCTTAACTTGGAGTACCGCTGAAACAAGGCAACTCTGGCTTAACTTGGAGTACCGCTGAAACAAGGCAACTCTGGCTTAAGTTGGAGTACCGCTGAAACAAGGCAACTCTGGCTTAACTTGGAGTACCGCTGAAACAAGGCAACTCTGGCTTAACTTGGAGTACCGCTGAAACAAGGCAACTCTGGCTTAACTTGGAGTAACTCTCAAACAAGGCAACTCTGGCTTAACTTGGAATACCGCTGAAACAATTTTTTAAGGCATATCTGCCTTACAAGGGAACACAGCATAGTTCATCAGACATCAGCAGCTGGTGGAAGGAAGAGCCACAAGCAGCATGGCCTCATTTTTGACTTTCACCTTACATGTCATGCAATATGACAGACATCATAATAGTCAGGTCTGGATACCACCAAAGTGAGTGAGTGAGTTATGCTTTTAAAAATATTCCAGCAATATCACAGTGGGGAACACAAGAACCCAGGCCTTCAGCATGACAAGAGAATGCTTCAACCACTAGGCTACCCCACTCCCGTGATACAATTAGAGAATACAGTAACTACCAAAAACAAGGACCTATGGATAATGATGTATACATGTGCTTTAAAGACATTATTACCAAACCAACTTAGACATTTCAAGATGGCGCATCAAAAGACTTTTCCAGCCACTGGTATCCCTGTTCAAGTTCTCAATATGACAGCTCACCTGAATAATGCTGACAGCTCGGTAGAACAGCTTGTTGTTACTGAAACAATCCAGTTGTTTTTAAGCCTCTGTGTATTTTGTCAAGACATCTGTTGTCATGGTAACGTTTATTCTGAATGACTACAGTTGTGGACACACCACGAAAGAAAGCCTCTGAGTAATACTTGGAGGCTGGTAGACCTGAGGTAATGTGTGATGTCATAATGGAATTCCCTTTAATGACATACATGGACATCTCATGTTGAAATACATCTTCAGTTATCAACACTCTTATCAGCAGTCTCATGTATTTCCATGACCAACTTTGCGAAAGGTTTTAAAAATGAAAAATATGAAACTGATTATGTAACATAATGTCACATGATAACATTAACATCATATTACCAGTATGCAAGTTTGTTTGTGTGTTGTTTAAAGCCACACTCAGCAATATTCCAGCTATAGTATGGTGGTCCTTAAATAATCAAGTCTGGACCAGAGAATCCAGGGATTGACGTCATGAGCATCTATCCATGCAATTGGAATACGATTAAATGCATCAACCAAGTCAGTGAGCCTGACCACCCGATCCCATTATTTGTCACTTATGACAAGCATAGTCGCCTCTTATGGCAAACATGGGATGCTGAAGCCCTATTCTACCCCGGTATGCAAGACTGCATGAGTATCCTCAATGCGTTTGTCATACTGTAAACTACATGTGTTAAAAGAGACATCATCTTGTATTTGGGTAAATGAACAAGTCTCTTGTACAACACTTTAAGCTCTGATCTACCTGACTTTCAGGTCCACCATGATGTTCTGGAACACCTTGCCCTTGAGGATGTGTGCTCCGGTAGTAACGGCGTTCAGCACCCACTTGGTGGCAATCTCCCGGTACAGCTGCCAAAACTCTGCCACTACAGTCTCCCCCACTACCCCGACCAGGGACATGCTGGGCAGGGACACTTGTACTACTGCAGCAAACTGTTCAAGTTGCACCGGATTGACCTGAAATACACAATTTTATAATAAACAGTCATGCATTGGATGAAAAATCTTACAGAAATGCTGCCTTCACCAAAGGTCCAGATAGGCGGGTGATATATTAGATTATATACGAGGGTGTGTGTCAATGTTGTAGCAGGTCCAGATAGGTGACATACAGTCAAGCCTCGTTAATTCAAAACTCGATCATCCTACAATCGGCTTTATTCGACACAAATGATGGGAACCGAATACATCAGTGCTATTCAGACCGTTAATCTCACAGTCTCGCACTCCGACTCTGACACACCTAATTTGCAATGAATTACTGAAAGCACTCATTAATCAGTCTCGTTAATCCGACACAGTGATCAGCTATTACGTGGTCATCTGTCAGCGAGTACACAGCCCGTGTTTTGTGTTAAGCTCCAGAGGTTGCATGCTTAGAAAACATATTCCAATAACAACATAACATAATATGAATATTTCATTTTTCATATTTTTATCACGTTTTTCTCAATATCTATCAAGGAGTTGTCCGATTTTCGACCACGAACATTGAAACTACTTAATTTCCTTTATCCGACAAACCCATAATCATATGCAACCAACCATGTCTGATTAACAGGACTTGACTGTATACAGATTATCACATGAGGGTGTGTGTGTCATTGTTGGTAGCAGGTCTAGATAGGCGATATATACAGATTATTACATGAGCCTGGCACATGCAAAATACCTCATATCCTCTACTGGCAAAAACAGATTATGATAAACCTGTCAATGATACGAGATATTTTGCATGTGCGATAGAGTCAATATAGAGATGGTCCTATAACAAGAGGCATAATAACCAGACCTGTATAGCACCCTCTGCCGGGCTGATATGGCTTGCAATCAATATCAGCCCGGGAGGTAAGAAATTGGAGTTACTGTATTCGACGTAATAAGCGCTCAGGGCGCTCTCAAAATTAGAAATAGGGGGCTCTTATTAGAATATCATTTTGGTGAGAGAAAAAACAGATTTGAAAGATAAATATTGTGGTTTATGCCGACAGCCTGAAATGTTTATATACGAGATATACATTTTTCCAGAATTTAATTGCCCATAATTAAGGGTGCTTATAACACACGAGTGCGTATTATAAGCGAATAAATAAGTCTTGTGTACATTGATCAATCGGAAGGGGTGCTAATTGGTATTGTTCACTAGCCAATATATAAGCAAATATCGCCGTGGGCGCTTATTAGAGCGGGACGCTTATTACGTCGAATACAGTATGTCCCTTCGTGCATCTTCTGTTTGGCTAGCTTTCCCATGACAAAATCTTCCATTCATATGCAAATGTATACATTTTACAATTTGAATGTTATGATATCATATTTATTATATGTCTGTTCTCATTTCAAAACCCATATCAACCTAAGACCCCCATATCAGCCCTTCGGCTCTGGGGCTGATAAAGAAGTCTTGCTATCTCTAAATGGAACTTACCTGGGCCTGCTCACGGCCTACGATCACACATGCTGTTCTACATGGAAGACCTTCCACACATGGAAAACTGGATGTGTCTGAAATAGAAGCAGAAAATATAGATCAACACCAAACAGAATCATTATATTGCATTCGTAACTTGTCTGAAAATGTAGCTTACACATATTTTTGGAATTAGTTGTCCCTGCTACAAATCTTAATTCTCAGAGAACATCTCAGCCTTGTGAGTGAAAGATGGTATTGGTATTACCAATATTGTTTCCAAGACTCATTTGATATATTTTGCATCATAGTTTTACATCTTCACAATTGAAAAAAGAATAAGGTGAGGTAAGGTGAAGTGAGGTGAGGTGAGGTGAGGTGAGGTGAGGTGAGGTGAGGTGAAATGGGGTTTAACGTCACTTCCAAGATTATTGCACTAATATAGCGACGTGCATGCACCTGTGTGTGTGTGTGTGTGTTGCTGCTTGTACTAATCTGGATTGATGCTGATTCTTAGCGCTAGCACACTGAGATTCACCCACTCAGGCACAGTTTACTGACTCCGAGCCGACCAGTCCTTGTTTTAGCCCCTTAATGCCAAGCGCCAGACAGGGTAACAACAAGTACAATCTTTTAACATCTTTTGGCCACTAGGTCACGGAGGTAGTCCGATAAAAGAATAATACCATTAATCATGAAGGAAGTTTTGTCACTAAGATGGCATATATAATCAACAGTTTGCATTGTCTGTCCATGCCTACCTTGAGTAAGCACAACCACAAGGTCATCACTGGTCACTGTGGGGGCCACCTCTTGTTGGAAGTTGGCCAGTGATATTCGAAAATGTTTGCCCTGTAAACAACAAAACAACAACTATGATTAATTAATTCAAAATTTTATCAATTAAGCAGCCATTTAGAACTTCTTAAATCTAGCACAATACTGTTAGAAGAGGTCCCTAAGCATTCTTTAATTCTCCTAAATTTAAAATCATGCCAGTTCTGTATCTTGATTGATCCTGAACTAATTATCAACTTACATTAAAGAAGTTAAACGTTGATACTAAAACAATAAGTGGCGTAAAACATAACTGATATTCAATGTACCTGGTCTGAAATATCTCCATCATTGTTCTTGAGAAAATCAAATCCCGTTGCAACAAAACCTCGCACATCATCCAATGCTGAAGCAACAATGTAAACAGTGCATCAATATTGAGCGACCTTTCATCTACAGTCAAGGAGAGAGTCTAACATATTAATTGTCTACATAAAAGACTAGTTCTCAGTCAAATGGTATTGTTATCAATTTTCATCCCTTTTGAAACTTTTCCTCAAAATTATTCATTTTAGAGGGCAAAGGCATGCCCAATGGAATCTGTTTTGTCAAAAAATTGTTGCTTATTCTCTGGCATTAATGTTATATAGTTTCATATTTCTCGATTTGAGTTGATATGGTCAGCTTGTGATGCAATAATTAGCTGTGCTCCAGGATGTCTGAGAGATGCCACCCACTTGCTCCATACGTAGGCGGACATTCCGAGGCGTCGATCATTCCCATGATGCCGAGACTGTCCTGGGAGAGGTAGTAGATGTGGCCCCCTGCATTCAGACTGTGACAGACAACAGCTATATAGACAAGTATCCATGCTTCCCAAGAAATAAAGGTGTTTTACAAAGGTTAAAACTTCCAACTGTACTTGACATTACAAGGTCAGAGAGAAACATGGCAGAATGACAAGGACAAGTGAAACAATCTTCATCCTCCGATCATATAACACACAATAAGAGGAGCCCTTACCCTCCAAACATCACTCACATTTCCATGTTTCTCTTTATGCAGGAAAATAAGTTGATTTACTTGGAAATAAGAGCAAATTAAGTGGATTTACTGGGAAATAAGTGCAAAATAAGTGAATTTACTGGGAAATAAGAGCAAATTGAGTGGATTTACTTGGAAATAAGACCAAATTAAGTGGATTTACTGGGAAATAAGAGCAAATTAAGTAAATTTACTGGGAAATAAGAGCAAATTAAGTGGATTTACTGGGAAATAAGTGCAAATTAAGTAGATTTACTGGGAAATCAGTGCAAAATAAGTGGATTTACTGGGAAATAAGTGCAAAATAAGTGGATTTACTGGGAAATCAGTGCAAAATAAGTGGATTTACTGGGAAAAAAGTGGAAGTTAAGTGGATTTACTAGGAATTAATAGCATCAAAATAGAATATAATTAATCCAATTGTACCTTTTTCCTGCAAGTTCCACAATGTCACCAATATCAGCCTGTCTGGAATAGACCGAGTCACACACTGTGTGATAACTCTGCAGCAGGTCTTGTACTCTGGATGCCACAGAACAGAAAACATGTCTCACTGCTAAATACAGACACGGCTCAGGTCAACTGACAGTACTAGCAGGTATAACTCAATTAATTTGTTGTTCATCTTCTCGAATCTTTCAAACTAGCAGTTAACAATAACCCTACACATACTGTCTCAGCTTCACACAAGTTTCTGAGTAAGAATTTCAATGTTGACTTCAAGATAAAATTGAATTGAGAATTAATTTTTCATGGCAACAAATTCTTCCTGGTTTTTGTCACAGAAATATCGATCCAATAACTGTAATACTAATTCCCTTTAAATTTATCCTATTCAAGTGTAAATCCACTAAGCATATACAACTGTTCCTTCTTTCAGCAGGAACTCTATAAATACTATGTCCTTTCAAAATGTTCAGCAAACTTAAGTTCCAGACTTGACAACATCTATAAATTCTGGTCATTGTGTCATGACCTGTTTATTAACTAATGTCATGTTAAAGATCTATATTATCTCTGCAACTGCAATGTAAAATGTAACATGTGCAACCTGTACAAAATGCAACAAAAATAAAAAACGTAAAAAAATAAAATTCTGAGTACAACATAGACCAAACATGAATACCAGATCATGGTGCATAGTCCTTTTATGTCAACAACAACATGGATAGAAAGAACAGTTCCATCTCCAATGTAAACCCTCTGTTGTATGTCCCTTTATCTGAGGGCGTGGCTGGGACCACACCTGACTTCTCAACAAAGTATCTGGTATGGAAGTCTTGTTCTGTAGGTCAAGGAATCCATCAGATTTGAAAGATCAGATATTTGTTTAAACCAAATACGGTATGGTAATTATTTCCCTGGCAGATGTAAAACAGATTACGTTAAAGGTGATGCTACCCAAACACAACCAGGAACCACACTGCAGGGACTTCCTTGTGACACATCTGTCATGCCCTCTTAAGGGAATGCGGTACTGCTGTGAGTGAGTGAGTGAGTGAGTTGGGTTTAACGCCGCTTTTAACAGTATTCCAGTTATATCACGGCGTGTCAGCTTAATGTGGGAGGAAAGCCCGAAGTGATGCAGGTCTCAGACGTTTACCACTTCAGTGAAACCCACGAGCACGGGTATGGTGCTGACAAACCTAGAAACATAATTGGGGCGAACCGGGATTTGAACCCACAATCATAGGTTTCTGGCGTGCCCAAGGGAAGCAATTCTGCACAGCGAATCGCGGCGCCTTAGACGACTGGGCCACCCGTGCCCCCCGGTACTGCTGTGAGGTGCTAGTGTTCATCAATGTAATTTCCTTCTAGTGAGTTGGGTTAAACGCCACCAAAGCAATATTCCAGTTACATCATGGTTTGTCAGATTAACAAGGCTAAAAAAATGAAAGTCTTGGTTCTCAAGCACCAACCGCATCATCATAAAGTCTGCCACATTTTGTTAGTAAACTAAAAAATCCTAATTCTTAAAAACACTGCGATCCAATATAGCACCCAGTCACTTCCCTTTATATGGTTGAAGGTACACAACTGTTTATTTGGTTATCTAGAATCAGCAGAAGATTCTGGCACAGCAAAGGGATCTAACTCTTCAGAACAACTAATGCAAAATTCAGGACTGGCTGATCTTCTGACACAGTGATTACAAAACTGACGTTGGTGGGTGTACCTGACATCCATGTCTTTACATGTCTTGAGGTATGCGGCAACTAAAACTGCCTCCAGCAGGATCTTTGTGGCACTGCCAGACTTCATACGACTGGAGCCGGTGATTTGCTCTGGCTGGACACAAAACACTTCATGTACTAATTCAGAAAAAAACACTGCAGGAACAAATGCAGAAAAACAATTGCAATATTTTACAAAGATTCTGAAATGCTTAAATATGCAAAAGGCATCTAAAATGTAAACAAGGCGTCCTTGAGGCACATATGTCCAGCACTGTCAGTGACATCATTACATTTACACTTGGACTTCAAGGATGAAACTTAGAATACATATATCTTATGTACCATGATGTACAACAACGAAACAACTTCACTACATAGTATCAATGAAAAGTTGATACTGAAAGAAAATCAACAAGCATTTTGCTTTTCAGGTGGACTACAAAAATATGTCTTTGGTTCATTAAATTCGCTGATCACAAAATGAGAAGTCAATTAAATGCACTATTTATTCTGATACTGAAAGGATTCCTATTATAAAATATTGAACTTAAAGTTGGGTCATTTAAAGATTCTCTTCAGAAAAGACACTTTTGTTCATACCCCAACAACTGGGTTCAGGATGTAGCCAGTTGGATGTTTCTCCAGCCTCTGGACAACTGGAACAGGACAAGTGTCGAATATTGTCACCAGACTTCACGTGTTTCAAGAGACATGGATCGTCATTCAGTACAGGAGAGAATGCTCTTTAGTGCAACAATCAGCGCTATTCAAGCTATATCACAGCATCTTCTAAATAAGAGAAATTGGGCTATGTAAATACCCATGGGGACACAAGCATGGGGCACTGGGGACTAGAATACCCATGGGGACACAAGCATGGGGCACTGGGGACTCGAATACCCATGGGGACACAAGCATGGGGCAATGGGGACTAAAATACCCATGGGGACACAAGCATGGGGTACTGGGGACTAGAATACCCATGGGGACACAAGCATGGGGCACTGGGGACTAGAATACCTATTGAGACACAAGCATGGGGTACTGGGGACTAGAATACCCATGGGGACACAAGCATGGGGCACTGGGGACTAGAATACCTATTGGGACACAAGCATTGAGTACTGGGGACTAGAATACCCATGGGGACACAAGCATGGGGCACTGGGGACTAGAATACCTATTGGGACACAAGCATGGGGCACTGGGGACTAGAATACCTATTGGGACACAAGCATGGGGCACTGGGGACTAGAATACCTATTGGGACACAAGCATGGGGCACTGGGGACTAGAATACCTATTGGGACACAAGCATGGGGCACTGGGGACTAGAATACCCATGGGGACACAAGCATGGGGTACTGGGGACTAGAATACCCATGGGGACACAAGCATGGGGTACTGGCGACATGAGTACCCATGGGGAAACAAGCATTAGGTACTGGGGACATGAATACCCATGGGGAAACAAGTATGGGGTACTGGCAACATGAATACCCATGGGGAAACAAGCATGAGGTACTGGGGACTTGAATACCCATGGGGACACAAGCATGAGGTACTGGCGACATGAATACCCATGGGGAAACAAGCATGGGGTACTGGCGACATGAATACCCATGGGGACACAAGCAAGGGGTGCTGGGGACTTGAATACCCATGGGGACAGAAACATGAGGTACTGGGGACCTATCCTGCAGTAGAATGCCTAATGGGTCACAAACACGGGGTACTGGATATTCTGATATATTTTCTGATGCACAAGCCCTACAGAGAGACATGCATGGGACACAAGAGGCTGACGAACAGGAATGGTAATTAGATTGACAGATATCATAATTAAAGTAAAGTACTCCTCTAAACTAATGAAATTGACATTTTAATTCAGATTTAGAAATATAATTTCCAGTGATACCTTGCCGGAAGGTTTTGTCCCACTTTTCAATAGGGAGATCTCTGGAAGGAAAGGAAACAAACCAATAGAAAAATTCTTGTAAAAAGTGGAACTCCATTATCTCAACGTATACATTTAAAATGATGTAACTAATGATCACAGAATTGGCTCATGTTGGCCCTCCTCCTGTCTGATTCTACAGATAAACTGACAAGGATGGTGGATCCTGGCCTTATCATAACAATGAATGGTTATTATTTGGGCTGGGACAAGTCCAAATTTACTACCCAACCCCCTATTACCCAACCCTTCCTGGGTACCCTCTGTAGGTCTCAAGAGATAGGTAAAAGATGTCCGATTGGGAATAGTTTGACCGTAGCCCTGGACTAAATGTATTTAGATACATGTATAAAACGATCTATCTTTAATCAAACATATAAAAGTCAGAAGGAATGGGTGCATAGTCAGAAAGAAATCCGAACATTAGTGACTTGTAGTGTATCTATAGAGTTCTAGATAATTTTTGTCATAAAACACGGGTCCAGGTAGTCCTGTGGGTACCCGGGTCCTTCACAATACCCACCTGACCCGAGTTATCCGTCTCAGCCTTAGTTATTATCATTTTTGCTCATTAATAAGCTAGGGTAGGTGAAAACTAGAATTACCTGGCTAGACAGGTGGGGTTAAATCCCAGCAGTACAGGTGTGTATTTATCAGGCTGTTCCATACACAGATGAAGCTGTCCGGCCACAAATGGAGCAGACAAGCCACATGTTATTCCTAGGAATAATACCCTTGTCTTATCTTTGCATAGCTGAAAGAAAAATCACTCCTTAATATCCAACTTAACATAACCTGTTGTCAGTGTTGACATTCAAACATTATCTCATAAATATCAAGGAAAAACCATCACAAAAATCTAATAATTAGATGAAAATATGGCAACATAAGGAGAATCGCACACGTCATAATTCAGCTTCCTCAGTTGGGCAATTTCAGAGAAAAAGTTTTCAGAGTCAAATATGCATTTTGAACAAATGTTCAAAACAAGGTCCAAATTTTTGTCTGTGCAAAATATTCTCTGAATTATGCGAGTTGAATCCCACAACAAACTACACAAATTGGACAAGAAGCGTCAGAGTAATGTCCGAAAATAAAAAATAATAATATGGCTGCAACAAAACAGTTTATCTCATTCTTAATGGCTGAAATTAACTTTTGGGTCGGAAGATGCATAAACCAAGTAATGACAAAAACTGGCTACTGCTTACGTTGTGTAGGAGGTCCATACCACAGGGTGGGTCATCCTCCACTGCCTCCTGGGACGTGAACAGGGCCCTGACACAAACAGTGAATGGAAATACAAACGTCTCATACAGGAACTGCCGCAGGTCATAGGAGTGAGTTGGGTTAAACGCCGCTTTTAACACTATTCCAGTTATATCACGACGTGTCAGCTTAATGTGGGAGGAAAGCCCGAAGTGATGCAGGTCTAAGACGTTTACCACTTCGGTGAAACCCACGAGCACAGGTATGGTGCTGACAAACCTAGAAACATAATTGGGGCGAACCGGGATTCAAACCCACAATCATAGGTTTCTGTCATGCCCAAGGGACGCAACTCTGCACAGCGAATTGCGGTGCCTAACTGGGCCACCCATGCCCCCTGAATTGAAATACAAACGTATAGGAACTGTCGCAGGTCATAGGAGAAAACCCATACTGACACGCTAATGCTTTGGGTATATATGCTTAGGCGAGACCAATTTAATTGCTAGGATTATGGATCCGCCGACACCATTTTTCGCCAAATCGGAAAAAAACAACAACGAAATTCTATCATTTTTTTTAAAAATATTCTACCCGACATCCGACATCGATCGATAAGCCTTGTTGTGAGAGAATACATGTTAGGAGAAGTAACTCTAGTTTTTAACTAAAATTCCTTACGCAAATGTGTCGGCAAATTCCATTGGTCGTTCCACGCGAGCATAGCCAATCGAATACGTACTCTCAATAACAAGTGTTTCCCGCATGCGCACAGCGTGTATTGAATATACCGGGACCATGTGTAGGACATGGGGTGTCAGTTTGGGTGTTTTAATGCCTTTTATTATCTGGTGTCTTTCGACAATGTCAGCAAAGTATTTCATGGTAAGCGTTCTGAAGGGTAGTGTGTGCTTATCAAAGCGAATCATGGAAAGTCCACTGGATGACACAGTTGGTGATTTGGCGACGAAAGCCGTATTGTCAATCGCCGATGGAGATGGACTTTCTATTCAAGAGGTGCATGCAACAGAATCCATGGCTGGTTCTTACGGGAATATTGTCGAACTTACAACACCTATGCAAGTTTTAGCAGACTTTGGACTAAATTATGTGACAGTGGTGGCAAAATCGAGAATAAACAGCGCCGATGTGCAGAAAACATCAGCGTTTGATGTTATAATGAGTTCTCAAAAGTTTGACAAGCTGCCAGCGAAATATTCTGGTGACAAACTAACTGGCGATCGAAAACTTTTCAATGACATTCTCGACATGTTTCACAAACATGGCATTGGTTTTACAACAAATAATGTTTCAGTAGGAAAAACTGTGTGCAAGCCTCTTCAGAGAATATTATGGTACATCACAGCACAGCACAGTAAACTGGAGGGGGGTGGGGGGGGGGGGGGGAAATTCCCAACATGTTCCAACAGTTCGAAGGCTACTTCGATCATGTACAAGCACAGAAGCCACCACCAAAGGTATGCATAACAAAATCGGCAATTTCTTAGGAAAAGTTTGAAAAATAATTTGACACCTGAAAACCTTTAATAATACTATGTTGAAGCTAGTATAAAACTTGGATTGTTTTAGACAAACCCAGACTTTTAAACTAATGCTCTGTCAGTGTGTGTGCATGTGTTTTGCCAAATGTTCTTTTGTTTTGAAGTCAAGTGCTATTTAATTTTAGTGCATTCCACATGTTAGCATAACACATCAGCCATGAGTGTTACCTGATCATTAAACACGATAAAGTGATACTGGACAGAGTATTTCAAGTACTTGTATGTGCCAAATGTTTTCTTTTGTTTTGAAGCCAAGAGCTGTTTTAATTTCAGTGTATTTCACATTGTTTTTATATTTTTAAAATACAATAAAACTTTAATAAGTTAAAAGCTTGTTGTTGAAGTCTACCTGCTTGTGGAAAACTGCCAAAAGATACCTGTAAACCCTGGTCATGAGTAAGGAGTGTCATTAGAAGAAGGGACTATAGTGCATTGCTTGCAACATGCGTGGTGGGTAATATTGAAATACTTTTGTAGCTTCTGCTATAGCTTCTTGTAGCTATCAGCATTCCTGCCTCCTAAAATCCGTAATACCTGCGAATTTTTTTTCTCACAATTACTTTTTTTTTTTTACATTCCCTCCTCCATTCAGCCACTTTACCCGAAAAAATCCATAATCCTAGCGATTAAATTGGTCTGGCCTTAGTTATATATCAAATTTATAAACACCTAATCTTTTTACTTTTCTCATGATTTATATATTTACATTTTAACTGAGGGTAGCATGGTTAAAATATGTATAGTTTAAAAAAGATACTGAAAATTAACACCTACAGTAATGTATGGTCAATACTTCACTCTTTATCCCAGATACACCTTAATGGTAATTAAGTCATGGTCAGGATGTTTTGTTGGCAATAAAAGCTTTTTCACCTACACAGGGGCAGTGGGGTAGCCTAGTGGTTAAAGTGTTGGCTCATCACGCCGAAGACCCGGGTTCGATTCCCCATATGGGTACTATGTGTGAAGCCCATTTTCCAGTGTCCCCCGCTGTGATACTGCTGGAATGCTGCAAAAAGCGGCGTAAAACCATACTCACTTACTCACTCACTAACTCTTTCCCCTACAAGTTCTCTCACAATCTACTTAACCATGGGCGTGGTCGGGGTGTTGAGTGAGTGAGTGAGTATGGTTTTACGCCGCTTTTAGCAATATTCCAGCAATATCACGGCGGGGGACACCAGAAATGGGCTTCACACATTGTACCCATGACCACTTTCAAAATGGCATTGCGTGTTCATAAAAGGTCTCCTGATTATATCTTGGACCATGAGTCACCCACCTGTCTCCCCCTGCCATGATGTAGTGACAACATGGCTCCCGGCCAGCACTCTCCAGCTTCATGTTGAACGTCCGCTGAAGGGAAACAATATGGTACTAATTAAACAAAGACGTCTGCATTCCATAAACAATGTTGATGACTTGTGACTAATACTAATTTTGTACTCACTTGCTTGAGTATGGATATAAACTTTGACACATTCTACTGAAATGGTTGACCTACACGAAACAGAATTATAATTTCATAATGGTATCAATCATCTCCTCAGGTCCTTTATTTCTCTATTCTGTTCTTCAATCTATTTCAAACTGCATTAAATCAACAATATTTCAGCATCTGGGAGTCATGTATTCTGCCCAAAAGCCTCCCAATTTCTACTCGCCTGAAGGATAGTACATTTTCATGGAACTGATGGCTTCCAGGGAGAGATGAATGCAAACTTACTTCCCTGGTGATCAGCGAGTAATCGGAATGCACCATTAGAAAGTTTCTTCAGAGGAGAAGACGTTTACAACTGTGATGAAATCAACATACACTGGTAAAGTGAAATGGTTCAAAGAAATATTGCTCTTACTGCTGTTATGAAACCCAGTCTGCCAGATGTCCCACACCCACTGAAAACAATGGCGCCTCTGCTTCCGAGCTTGAACAGACATCGAACAAAGTGTTCAAACACACGTTCACAGAAATGACCTATTAACAACATGGTCAAGAAAAATCTGAACCTGATGCAATTGATACTCTTTGACATGCATAAAATCCTATACAGCAGTGTTCCCCTTGGCTTTTGAAACTGCCGGTCCCAATGGACTGGCAACTATTGATCAAATAAAAATCAAATGAAAATTACCTGGTCCACAGGGACTGGCAGTCACAGGAATTACCAGTCCAAGCCTAATTTTACTGGTAAAAAACTTATAATTACCGGGAAGGGGAACGGGAACACTGTATACAGTCTCACTGTCATATTTTATTGCTGAAATACAAGTGTGTCAGAAAGTTGTACAGCTTTCACTGCCATCTCCAGTTTCACTTCAGATTTCAACATTGCGAGTCAGTCCCCATATTACTGACTGTACCTTCATGATTTCAGCAGCCAGGGTTGCTATGGCCGTCAGTGTCTCCAGGATTCTGGCATCAAACATCCCCTGAAATATAAGAACACACATAAGTGAGTTGAGAGATGTGTGAGTTGAGAGATGTGTGAGTTGGTAGAGCTGTGTGCAGGTGGATCTGTGAGTGGGTGGATCTGTGTGTGGGTGGATCTGTGAGTAGGTGGATCTGTGTGTGGGTGGATCTGTGAGTAGGTGGATCTGTGTGTGGGTGGATCTGTGAGTAGGTGGATCTGTGTGTGGGTGGATCTGTGAGTAGGTGGATCTGTGAGTGGGTGGATCTGTGTGTGGGTGGATCTGTGAGTAGGTGGATCTGTGTGGGTGGATCTGTGTGGGTGGATCTGTGTGGGTGGATCTGTATGTGGTTACATCTGTGTGTAGGTGGATCTGTGAGTGGGTGGATCTGTGTGTGGGTGGATCTGTATGTGGTTACATCTGTGTGTAGGTGGATCTGTGTGTAGGTGGATCTGTGTGGGTGGATCTGTGTGTGGGTGGATCTGTGTGTGGGTGGATCTGTGTGTGGGTGGATCTGTGTGTGGGTGGATCTGTGTGGGTGGATCTGTGTGTGGGTGGATCTGTGTGTGGGTGGATCTGTGTGTGGGTGGATCTGTGTGTGGGTGGATCTGTGTGTGGGTGGATATGTATGTGGTTACATCTGTGTGTAGGTGAATCTGTGAGTGGGTGGATCTGTGTGAAGGTCGATCTGTGAGTGGATGGATCTGTGTGTAGGTGGATCTGTGAGTGGGTGGATCTGTGTGTGGGTGGATCTGTGTGTAGGTGGATATGTGTGTGGGTGGATCTGTGAGTAGGTGGATCTGTGTGTGGGTGGATCTGTGTGTAGGTGGATCTGTGAGTGGGAGGATCTGTGAGTAGGTGGATCTGGGAGTGGGTGGATCTGTGTGTAGATGGATCTGGGACACCAAGCATGGCTCTCACAGGAATTCAGTGTAGGGTGGGTGTATTTGAAATCATCTTGAAAATTATTAATGAAAACAAATTAACCGTTTGTCTCCTTTTCTTTTTGGAAAATAAATGTGGCCACTTAACAAAAGCATTGATTTACACGTTTACATATGTGTCCCCTGACGAGGTTCATAAAAGACATTGTTATCATATCATTTGCATTAAATGTCAGTTCATCTCACTGGATAATTCTGCCACCCAGAAAAGATTTCCTCATCACATCTTTGCAGGATTGAAATCATATCTATAAAAGAAATGAAATTGGAACACACAAACACAATCTGGGAACAAAAGCAAGTTTAAGGGAAACAATGATGCTTTAAACAAATATAATCAATCATAAACAACAATACAAGAAGTATTGAAATTAAAATGAGAAAATTATGAGAAGAAATTAAATAATTAAAAACAAAACATGACAAGAAAAATATACATGCCTTGTGGTGATGCGACATCAATGTTGACAGATAGAGGGTTAACCCGCTCTGTGATAGGCTGTTCAGCGGACATAGCTTGGTAGTGCACAGAAACATTGTATTAATGACTTGTAGTGGAATATATTTAACAGCCATGGTTATAATGTATGATAATTGCAACACACTGACACATTGTTGCATTAGCCATTATATAACATTTGAATAATCCACAGTTACTAATCCTTACTATCACTATCAAGTCATCCAGCTATCAACATGATCAATCTGATTCTGTACAATTATTGCAATGTGCAAATAATGCATAGGCAAGGTGTATAAATATACTGTCGCTGACACCAGGTCTATCCAATGCGCAAAAAGATTAATTAATGTAACTTTTTAATTTGGTTTGTTTGTTGTCAATATTCCAGCTATATGACGGCGGTGTGTAAATAATTGAGTCTGGACCAGACAATCCAGTGATTGACATCTAGAGCATTAATACAAGCAATTGGGATACGATGACATGCATCTGCCAAGTCAGCAGCCTGACCACCCGATGCCGTTAGTCGTCTCTTAGGACAAGCATAGTCGTCTCTTAGGACAAGCATAGTCGCCTTTAACGGAAAGCATATGGGTTGCTGAAGATCTATTCAAGCCTGCATCTTCACGGGTGAAGTTTTTAATCACGCCTGTTGTATACAGAAGTTTTTCATCATGCTTGGTGTACCTATACACTGTGCAGATTGAAGTAAGAGGCGATCTACATAAATGATATTGACAAATGTCGATGTATATTATTGATAAATGTCGATGTATATACATGCATCATGTAAATCTGAGGTAGATTAATTCACCTTTATGCTATTTCCTGGTAGTCTCCCCACGAAAACCTCGTTGTCCAGCTCGCCCGGGCAGGTTATCTACACTGTCGCCCGAGCTGACCCACTTTGCGTTATCTGAATGATAACCCTGGCTAACCGGGAAAACCATGTCCACAGTGAACACTTTGTAATGTAAACCTCCCTGGTTTAACAAAATTCACATGTCACTAAATCTCTTTTAGAGTTATCTACCCTTGGCTACGCCTTCGTGTTTTTCGCTTGCGAATGGTTGAGAGAATATGAGATTTCCCGTGTCATCAGGGACATATAAGAAAATTAGACTCTCTGTATGAGACAGTTTGTTTGTTTGTTTGTTTGTTTGTTTGTTGTGTAACATCAATGTCAAGGTAAAATAACCTTAGTTGACAAATGAAAATGATACTGATGATCAACAGTGATACCTTACCCTCTATGTTTTGAATTTAAGAAAAAGGCGAGAACTTTAGAATATTACTAAACTGTGATAATTACATGGAATGTTATTATTTTACATCAAAATCAAAGTCATAACCAATACCAAAACGAATAGAAAAATAAACTATAACTAAGACCTTTTGTACTGATACCAACATGTATTAAATGTGCAAGATTCGATAAAAAAAAGTAGCTAGTCATCAATAGTTTTTGTTACATAAAATGTAATTTACAATCTGTTTGTTTCCACTTTAAGTTGACGGGCATATTTAATAATTGAATTATTTTGTCCTTCGGATAGACTTTTGTTACCACTTAGAATTGTTTCTAAGTTCGGCTGAGCCCCTCTATTCATAATACTGATAAACAAAGATTGTCTAATTAAAGTCTTACATTTGAGCAAATAGTGAAAAGCATTTTCGCATGAGGAACCGCAAGATCAAGAAAGAGTGTCTGATAAATAACCCTAAATAAATCATCATTCAGATTGCTTCATCTATGCCTGAGCCTTGTGTGTATGATATTAATTTCACGCTTTCCACAACTGAACTAATATGGAGATCTATTAACATTGGGATTAATTTTTTGTTTTAAATTCAGCTATTGAAAAACTATTTTTAACATTTTCATTTTGTGAATTCCACTGTTTTAATGAGTCTATTATAATGACTTTCGAAACGTGCTTGTTCTGCCAAAAGGTACAGTTATGTTCTGTTTGTTACGTTGGTTATAATTTGTGGCAGCTTATCTATTGTTTGGGAAAAGAAATTATTTAGGTATAAGGGACATTCCTTCATTATTATTTTGTTTGTTTTTAGTTTTTTTTATTGTTCGTCTCTCTTGTGGGCATGGTTACCGTTTAATGTTATTATGTTTTGTGTGTTTACGCCACGCTTCCAGCTATATGACGTGGGTCTGAAAATAATCGAGTCTGGACCAGACAATCCAGTGACTGATATCACGAGCACCGTTCAACCCCACTTGGATACGATGATATGCAGCAACCAAGTCAGCGAGCCCGGCCACCCGAAACCATTATTTTCCTCTTACGACGAGCAGATATATAATGCCGGTTTTATAGTGCAAGGCCATTGAGACACCACGGACTTGTATAGTCAGTTTACTCTCTTGCCTCGGGAAGATGGCCTCAGCTTAATATGGATACCCCACTGAGACACAGTAGATACTGACTGCCAGCCGACCATTCCTTGTTTTATCCCTGTAGCGACAGGAAGGTTAACAACACATATTGGGTTAGAATTGGTCTTCAGCAACCCATGCTTGTCGTAAGAGGCGACTGACGGGATCGGGTGGTCAGGCTCGTTGACTTGGCTGATGCATGTCATCGTATCATAATTGTGTAGATCCATGCTCATGATGTCAATCACTGGAATATCTGGTTCAGACTCGATTATTTACAGACCGTCGCCATGATAATAATGTTCTGGTTTCGCCAGTTTTGTGAGTCGCGCCTTTTAGGTTGTCCGTATATTTCTCTGTTTTTCGCATCTCACGTCCGGAATGTTCATTCTTGAAATAATAAAAAAGTTTTCTTCTCTCAATTTTCCCGCCGATGTGGAAATGTTTATGACCCGATGTGATAAATAAAATACACCTATACCATTGCACTTTAATAAAATAAACTCAGTTCAGCTTGATCTTTCTTGAGGTATATTTCTTAAAAATTCGTTTTCGAAAGCATAACGCCTCGACCTATGTCAAAACATAATTTAAGGACCTTACTTAAATAGTGAAACACAAGTCTTTTATTTTTTATATATTTTAATATATTTTCGCCCGCCCGCGCTCTTGCTGGTGGGGGTTGGTGTACACACACTTACTCTCTCTCTCTCTCTCTCTTTCTCTCTCTTTCTCTCTCACACACACACACACACACACACACACACACACACACATACACTAGCAAACTACAAGATCGCCGTTGCAGTTTAGTGTTCCCGTCTGATAATCAACATGTATAATTAATATATAAGTAGGACACACAGAGCGTGATGTCGAACAATTACACAGAGGGTTGTGAATGCATTAATACGTAATAATCACGGAGTGGTCAGCCGAGTAACAGCGTGAATGTTTATGAGAAATGACATTATATATTAATTTGTTGTCCTTGTATGTGACATATATTTGTGTACACCCGATTCACCTGTAAGGTACAGTGAATTTTGTGGGGTTTGGAAACGAATACAGTATACATTCAATATACATGTACAGTGTTTGAGACCCGTGAAGATTCCGGGTTAGAATAGGTCTTCAGCAACCCATGCATGCTTGCCATAAAAGGTGACTATGCTTGTCGTAAACGGCGACTAACGGGATCGGGTGGTCAGACTCGCTGACTTGGTTGATGCATGTCATCGATCCCAATTCCCTGGTCCAGACTCGATTATTTACAGACCGCCGTCATACAGCTGGAATATTGTTAACAACAGTGTTTGAGCACTTTTCTAAACATACAACACGAGTTTCTAAATGTGTGTGATTTAAACTATGATTGATAAAATAAACTCTTTTCCCATATGCATTGCGTGATTTAATATAATCCGGTTGCTATTCAAAGCACCCGAGAAGACCCGGGTTAGAATTGGTCTTCAGCAACCCATGCTTGCCATGAGAGGCGACCTGTTAGCGATGCTCGTCGTAAGAGCATCAGGTTTTCTGATTTGCTGACTTAGCTGATAGCATGGCATCGTATCCCAGTTGCGTCGATCCATGCTCATGATATCAATCACTGGATTGTCCGGTCCAGACTCGATTATTTACAGACCGTCGTCATATAGCTGGAATATTGCTGAGTGCGGCGTTAAACAAGACACAAACAAGCCATTCAATCGATGCCAAGATATAGTTGTTCATCAGTCTCACGGTCAAAGTTTAATTAGTTAATTAGTTAGTATGAAACGGGACGGTTGACTACGTCAAAGACATAGATTCACAACCCCCCCCCCCCCCCCCCCCCCGAGGTAGAATGTGCAAAGGTCATCCCTGTATGAGACCCCGCCTTCTAATGATAGGCCTGGCTATTGCTCTATTTTAATTGGAAAGCTATAATCAGACAGAACTCTTCATAAAGTCGTACAACATTCCATTGAAAAGAATATTTGGATACATTTTATTTTGGAAGGCTTATAGCCTTATTCGTGAAATCAAATAGGTCATGTTTAGTTTGTTTCGTCATTTGTTTACAATCGTGCCCACTCGATCTATTGATCCTCCTTTAGATTTAGAGTTACCTCCCATGAATGACGTAAATAGCCGATGTTATAATCGGCTACCTTCGGCAAAATATTATGCCTGCGTCTATAGCTACACGGTGGCGACCTGACTACGGCTGTTATTATTTACTTAGATACTCGGGGAATATATCCAATGAGCGTTCTCACAGCGCCGGCATAGTATTGTGAGCACACAGACAGGCCCGAATGGCAGCACGCGAGGGATATTTAACTATTTGATGCTGTTTTGATCAGATCGGGTCGTTTAATTCGCCGTAACCACGGACGCCATCGTATAGGCGCACCTGCTGAATCCAGAGGCTGTCTTGGAGTTTGTGGACAGATCCCTTGTTTATTTGGACACTTGCACAGCTCAGCATGGGTTGCAAGCAGTCGAAAGCGGTGCGGGTCCAACCTGTCGGCCCGGCTTCTGTTGGGCATGATAACACGGACAATGTGGAAATTTGTGATTCTGGAACTCAGACGAAAGACAGAATAAAGTCGGGAAATCCCGACGATCAATATGAATATGACATTGATGATCAAGGAAATAAAGTCAGGAAACTGAGGAAAAAGAAGAAAAGCAGATCGGCTAAGAGTCGAGATTCTTTGAACTCTTGTGACACTCTCGGGGATGAACAGTCTATGGAAAGTGATCGTGGGTTCTCGGCAGGGTCGAAGAAAAGCGCGGATTCTGGACTTGGAGAATGTGATGACTATGGACATGTCATCACAGAATTCTCAGATCCTAATGAAGTTCAAAAGATTGAAAATGAATTTGGCGGAGAGAGGGACGATTTAGGTTGGTTATTTCGTTATTGTTCATCAGTGTATGTAAAAACTAAACTTTATAAAAGTTTGACAGGAAACGCAATTAAAATTAAATATTTAGACTAGAGGTGACGGTAATAAGATTCACGCATGCACAACCGATAGACTATGATACAATAGCAACATGTATTAATTATAATAGTGTTGTACATTTTATTTATTTGCTAAAAATCAATTATCTATGTACAAAAAACGTCATATGTCTATGATTATATACTGATATTCAGTACCAGTTCTACATATTTACGTGTAATGCAGTATAATAAAGAAACAGATATGGATACACTGCCATGTAATTGCAGCAATATCGCTAAATACAGCATAAATCCCTTAACTACCCCCCCCCCCACACACACACACACACACACAAAACGAAATATGTCCACAACGTAAATTCGTTTAGACATTTTTTACCTGTGATGAGACATGATAATAACGATGCATTGTATTTGTATTTAACCAACAAGAAAACAGCATCAATGCTTCTCTTCATGACTAATAAATATACACATTTTAAAACAGCGACAAACTAAGCAGTTACACTAAGAGCACACGTTTCAAATATAGATTTTTTAAATTTATTATTATGATTATAGAAACTATCTATTTTTTAAGACGCAATTTCAAGGTTAGATAATATGTGCATTTATACTTTTCTTTATAGATGCACAGTGCATGTGAATTAGAATGACATGTTGATATGTACAATACTGTTGGTCAAAAAGGAGGATGTAAGTGTATGTGTAAGAAATATCAACTATATTTCACACGCATATTCCCTACCAAACAGTATCCAAATCTGAACATTCCCTGATTATTTCACATCATTGTTTCCCCTGTCATCTCCACCTACACTCACAATCTGAATCTATTGTTATTTGGAAATGAGGCGATACTCACTAATCTAGGATTACCGGCTTTACGAATATTCAGAATCGTTATGGAACATTGTACAATTCAATAGTTGCCTATTCAAAAGAAACGCCGGGTTTTCTTGACATGTCTGTTCTGGAGTGATATTGGTCCCTGTTGGCGGTAATTTTCAGCATAATAACCCTCTATTGACCGTAAAACGGATTACATGAACTAAACCGTTGCTTTATCGAGGACTGTATGGATTATAAGTAGATCTTATGGGTGCGTCAGTATATAATACCTTTAATGCCACCGTAGATTTAGAGAATGCTTAGGTGTGATTAGTAAAATCAGAGGTTTCAAATAGCAGTAACACGTATCTGATTAAAGCAATCGCATCAACTTTGGGGGAACTATTGACTCTAAAAGACTTTTGATTCCAAATTTGTCTTTATGATCTTCAATTTTCAGCAAAAGGTCCTGAGCATTTACTTATTAGCTCAATTCCAGTGTCCGGCATAGAACAAATTATTCTCAACTTCATAATGGTATTGGTTGTTTAAGGTCTCACAAACACTACAGAAATAAGGATTGTTCTAAGGATTAATAATAATAATAATAATGATAATAATAATAACAACAACAACAACAATAATAATTATTATTATTAGTAGTAGTAGTAGTAGTAGTATTATTAATCCTTTTGTCAAGCTCTAATTTCAATACTGAATTATGTTCCGACAACCGTGCAGGTTGTTTGGACAACATTGCAAAGTCTAATAAAAACACTCCGAGAAACGCTAAACAACTCCCACTTGACTTGAGCTGTATATGAAGTAGTTGGTACGCAGACGTTGACGATGTCATTGTCGTGAGTTTGCTGTCACTCAAGCACCTGCCTACCCCACACTGAGGCATTACGGAAACTTACCAGTCTCGGATGTGATCAGGGGAAACCAGACACGCTAACTCTGCAGCAAATGCCATTGTGAGCCCTCACGCTAATTAGAGACCAACGCATTGTGTCATTATTCCGTATCAATACATGCTAGCTGGCTAATTAACTGCCCTATATATATCGTCTTACTAATATATATCAGTCAGACAACATCACAGTTGCGGGTTTGACCGGACAGAAACATATTTAAATAGGATTATACTGCCGTGATTTCCATGCGTGTCCATGCATTATTATGTAGTTTTATACGATTTATTGTTTCAGGAAGAAACAAATTATGAAAAATGTTTTATCTTTCTATTGATTAACGTTATTCACCCCAAATTGGAGGCGGTTTGCGACTGGACGGTCAGAGTGATATGAGTCACAACATGCAGATTGCTGTAGAAGTCCAAGTTTGAATTTATAAAAAGTTGGAAATTTCCGGTACAATTCTGGCAAATATACTTTACGTAGCTCAATATAATGTTTACGGATCAATACGAAATGATATTCATCTTAAACAAATATATTGCAAAATGGACACATACGTAAACATGATTTCAATAGAATTGGCATCTACCTCGTCCTGTCGTTAATGTATTATGTAATAAAATCAATGCGAATCTATTTGCCGTTGTAAATACACAAATATCCTTCAGGTTCAAACTCTGGTTTATCTTTTCTCTACATCAGATACCAGGTGCTATTGTTGAGTATTGACATCCAGTGTTGACGTACCTGTACAGACTGTACAATCAGAATAAACTCTATAAATTGTTCGTAATTGTCATCGCGTTTTCTTAGTGTTTCCGTCAGACGTTTACCACTTCGTTGTTTCCACGAACACAGTCATGGTGTCGACAAATCAAAACATCACGGGGAATCTGGAATTCGAACCCACGATCATATATGTTTCTGGAACGTCTAACGCAACTTTGCAGGGCGATATTGGATTGGTCGACCCGTGCCCCCATGGTTATGTAGTCAGATATACCATGCCTTGAGAAGATACATGTCTTCGGGAGAAATTGCACACTTTATATCGCACAAAATATCAAATATCTCCCTTTTTTCAAAAATCGTTTTAATGCGGCACAAGAATAATCTATTATATTTTCAACCTTTTTCCAGATCTCATGGTTACTGGAAAACCTTGTCAAAAGAGACTGAGCGCCAAGGACAAGAATCGACTTGAAGAGTCCATGATTATGCAGGCTCTAAGAGAGGAAGGCCTCATCACAAAGACTAAGACTGAATCCACAGGCGGAGTGAGTTTTGAAATTGTGGCTAAAGAGGAGGCAGCCAGACCCCCTCCACGGCTTGCCAAGCTGGAAAAGAGGAGGAAGAAGAAGAAAACGCTCACAGAGGAAGAAATTCAGGAGAAACTCGAGAGAGCAGAAAGGAGACGAAAGGTGTGTTTTTGCCCCTATGTGGTAGGAGTTTAGCGTTTGAAAAACCCAATACACACTTGAACGATACGGTAAAATAGTGAGAGTTATAATTTAACGTCGCATCGGCATTATTTCAGCCATGTATAGCGTCGTAAAATAAACTACATATGCATATACACCTACTTCCTCTACGACTTGACCCATGCAGTGGGCATTCCATGGCAGAAGATCACAATCGCCGTACCCTTGTTGTAAGAGCTGACTAATATGGATAGGGAGGTTACAATGTTTGACCTGGGTGAGTTCATGCCATCCTGCCAAAACAGCGCGGATCGTTGCTTACGATAATAATAATAATAATAATAATAATCATAATCATTATCATAATAATAATTTAAAATAATAATAACAACAGGATTATTGAGAGGCCGACGTCGTGCGGCTGAGACTGAGATGTCCCTCTCTGTAACCTAAAACAACACCCACTCAACACTCGACATCTACTACCATCACCTTCAACTTTAGTTCGACCCGATATCATTATCATAACTGACTTGTAACAGCGGAAGTCACACTTTTTGCCAGATATTCACGAATATTAAATCGGGCCCTAAATGGGAATAAAGAAACCCTTTTCAAATACTGCATGGTTATAATCGTAAATGAATAGTCAATGTCGATACTGCGTTTCTGTAACTCTGCTCAGAGACCACACATCGATATCGGTATTTGGTCTCTGCTCTACTTCATATGTTAATACAATCACACCTTCGGCGTGGCACATAATCCCGGTTGCCGTAATGTAACAAGCCGTATACATGATTAATGTCAGGTTCAGTCAGTATTGCAGAGAACAGCATGAACCCCTCGACTCAGTGAATGATCAGACCTGTTATACACTGCCGGCTACAATCGATGCAGTCTGGACTTGTGTCAAGACTCTTGGCATATCAGTAAAAGAATCGATGGCAAGGCTGGAGGTCACGCGCCTTCGTGAAGTCTGTAAACATGTTCTGCGTTTCTCGGCAACTGTGCCTTACGAGTTCGTACCTATCCCAGTGTGTTACTTATGAATGAGGAACGGAATCATGATTGACAGAGAACTGTGAAGGAAATAGTGGACTCAAGTTTAGCTGCTGTTGATTGAGAAGATCGATAAAGACTTATTAGGCCTTCCTTATGCAGTACTGTACTTTATTAAATATATTTTCAAAGGCGATACAGCATGTCATGGCAAATTACAACGACAAATATTTATTAGCTCTTGACCGCAATGACGTTCATCAAACAAAAGATCAAAGAGGACACGTATATACTTAAACACCAAGTCTGTAGTTAAATAACCCTAGCTGTTTTGTGTTACGAGATTTAATGGTCGCACAAATATTTCCCCTAATATAAGTCTTTTAACTCGTAAACTCGTAATGATAAGATTCGTTACATGTGCCACTAGCGGGGTGTACCTGGTGTTTAGAGCGGAACAGGCTTGTACACCACGGCACCGAAACTCGATGTGTGTACATGAACGTTCAGCTCTTAGATCCCATACACTCCGCTAGAGGCACATGGAAATAATTATATCATTACGAGTTTACGAGTTACAAGACTTATTTCCGGGGCAGTACATGCGCGTGACAATTAAATCTTTCTCATCGCCATCAGAAGAACGTCATGCGAACTCAAGGGACGTCTCATCAAATATTATGAGGTCGTGACATTGGAACAGGCTGGCTAACCGGCTCCACTTGTATGTTTTTTCTCAAGACGTAAGATGGCCAGTCATCTAGCTAGATTCTTTAACGAGTAATGATAAAATTGGTTTGCAACTGCATTCATGACTATTTAACATTGTCTATGAAGAGCTGTGCATAGTTGTTCCATTAGTCGTACTTTCGATAACTGGGGCGGTGGGGTAGCCTAGTGGTCAAAGCGTTCGCTCGTCACGCCGAAGACCCGGGTTCGATTCCCGACATGGGGACAATGTGTGAAGCCCATTTCTGGTGTCCCCCGCCGTGATATTGCTGGAATATTGCTAAAAGCGGCGTAAAACCATACTCACTCACTCACACTTTCGATAACTGTTCGTCACTGCCATGTCCAGACGTGATTATTTATATGCCGCCCTGGATTAATGGCGACAGTGGCATGAAACAACATGCACCCTCCGACTACTGCCTTGTTATACAGTACATACTGTTGACACCATGTAATATGTTTTTTCTATGTCCACTTCCAGAGGAAAGAGCAGGAACGACTCGAGAAGATCAAGGAGATTGACAAGAGCGACCACCTGGCTGCTCTGGACAGTTTCGCCAAGCACCAGCAGGAGAAGGTGGAACAGACGACACAGAAGATGGACCAGGTCATGGACAACAGGGAGAAGAGGATGAAGGAAATTAGAGACAAAATAAAAGCTAAGGAGAAGCACGCGGAGGAAGTGAGGAGAAGGAAGTTAGCGCATGTCGACACGAATGACAATGGCTCAGATAACCCTGCGTTCGAGCCAACTGTGTAGGGGAGGTAACAGGACATTAGACATGCTTGAGAGAAAGTATTGCAGAAAGATAGAATGGCGTGAAATGAATACAACTTTAACCTAAACGTGTATCAAGCGTGATGTACCAACGAAGTTCAGTTATATGAAGACCAAAATCATGAATGGTAATACATAATTTGTTATTGGTCAAGACTGTGGCTATATGGCAAAATAGCAGTGATAAGGATTGTCGCCATAATGAAGACCTTCCTGGTACGTTCCTTGTAAGAGTATCCTTGTTTGTCGATCTAATTTGAACAAGGATTATGCATTCTCAAAACCGATGGCGAGGTTGATAAATCCCCTTGCGTCCGATGATGATGATGATAACGTTTTCTGACAATGATGCCAGCATTCACCTTCATAACTGTAATTACGGGTATGTAATGTCTTTCGTACCTGACGCTCCACCCCACTCCCTTGTTAGTATTAGAGTTGTATACCAGAGTGTACGCACAGTGATTAACGCTCCACAAATCTGAGGGAACGGTGGTAGTACTTTTACGAACTTACCGTTACTTGTTTTATCAAGCTCATAGCTCTATTGTTATGACGTAATTATTTACCATTGTTTGATTCCAATTCCAACAAATACGCGCCAGTCACATGTCAGTATTAATCGCTTACCAGAGTGCACGCTCCACTGTGGAAATTGAACTGTGATAACAAGTTTAAGAATTTAACGTTACCGATTGTTTTGTCAACCTATTTATCAATTGTTATGACGAAGCTATTTACATTTGTTTGCTTTTTAATATTTAACATATGAGTACAAACGTGTATATAGTGTATATATGCAATGCCTCATTGTAAATTATCATGTAAGTTATTTCAAGCCATTGTCAGCGTGTGTTGTTTACAACACTGTCACGTTTTTAACGTGTACACAGAGGGGAGGAGTCAGCCAATTATAAACTTACTTAGTAGTATACCGTATTCGAAGTTATAAGCGCTCAGGGCGCTCTCAAAATTAGAAATAGGGGGCTCTTATTAGAACATTATTTTGGTGGAAAAAAACAGAGTTGAAAGATAATTTTTGTTGTTTATGCTGACAGACTGACATGTTTATATACGAGAGATACACTTTTCCAGAATTTGATTGCCCATAATTAAGGGTGCATATAACACACGAATGTGTATTATACGCGAATAAATAAGTGTTGTGTACATTGATCAATCGGAAGGGGTGCTAATAGGTATTGTTCACTAGCCAATATATTAGCAAATATCGCCGTGGGCGCTTATTAGAGCGGGGGGCTTATTACGTCGAATACGGTATTCTCCTCCCATCCACATCCTCTATGTCACCAGGACTCGCATTTCGGTAAACTTACACTGAACCCTTGACCCATTCCCTTGGTTCTCGCGGCCTTAAATTACCTGTTCTTGATTTTCATTAGTCAATTTGATACGCTACTCAGTCTAACGGACCAACCAGAATACGAGTAACAAACCAGCGTTAATTTTGGGTTTGCGTTATCAACAACACTGGGTCCAGTCCAGTTGATTACGTTAGAGTTTTCGAGATATTCACCAATAAAAAACTGACTGATCTACAAAAGTAAGCCCTCAAAACTATTTTTGATTGAAATAATGTCTTTATGTCCATGTCCGCCTTCCCTACCCAGTTCCTTTTTCCTTAACTCGACGTTTAATTGGTCGGTTAAATATTAATTAAAATCAAGCTGTTTATGAACGCAAGAACCACGTGAATGGATCCAGGGGTTAGGGTGGGTTTAGCGAAATGCGAGCCCTGGTGATACAGCGAATGCCCCATCCACTACATATCGTTACACTTCAGAATTCCGGCTAAAATATTAGTCGTCTCTATTAACGGTACAATTTTAGACTGTAGAGATACGCCTAGTTTTATGGAACTCTCAAAGAGAAAGAATACTGAACTTTATGTTCAGCTAAGTCGCGCTCGGATATAATGAGACTCTGGTATTCAGAAATCGGTTGTTGAAATGACCCCCGTCTTCAAAGCGATCTTAGCACTTCGGTTGCCGGAGGGTTGTACAAAAAGCGTGTAGTAACGCTGAGGTCGCTTGGAGGATCGGGACACTGTATTAGAAGTAAAATTGAAATGAATAGTTGTATGTTGATTACTGCAGTATCAGTGTTGTTTTCATCTTGCCGATTATATTCAGCGCACAGTTTTCATGTTTGTCGATCAGTATTACCGAACCATTGCTCATTGCTCAAGCGAGCATCACTGATGTTTGAATGAAGTAAACTATTTTGACTTGACAATTTCTAGTTTGTTTTTTTGTATTGTGGTGTCTAAAATTCTTTTTTTTTCTCAGAAATATAGTACTTAAAAGCCTTAACGTTGTTTCGTCATCCAACGAATTCAGTGGATTGTTTATGCAGTGTTGAGGTGCGGTGAAATGGAGTTTAACGTCTCGTTCAAGATTATTTCCAATTATATAGCAACGTGCACGCACGTGTGTGGCTGCTTGTACAAGGCCGGAGTTATACCACCCAGACACAATACTGACCCCGAGCTGGCCAGTCCTTGTTTTATCCGCTTAACGTCGAGCACCAGACAGGGTAACAACAAGTACCATCTTTTGACACCTTTTGGTATGAGGCGGCCAAGGGATCGAACCACCGACCTTCCACTCCCGGGGTTTAACAGATACACGAATGGCTAAACCCAATATCCCCAATGGCGTCCCTATAATATACGTGGCTCGGGTCCTTCGTCCTGCTTGAAGACGGCAAAGGCACATTAAATCCAATGAATCCTAATCCCCTTTATCAACAAACAGTACGAGACCTGGATGCACCAGGAGCTCTCACAGCAGTATGTGAACACGCAGTCCCATAATGCAGCGTGCACAAAGGTCCCCTGTACGAGGAGAACCAAATAAATAACCTCATATGTAAAGTATTGGTGTGTTAAACCACGGAGCATTAGGCGTATTATTCAATGGACGGGAGACATGTGACCTACGACAGAGATTGTCCTCACGAGAAGTTGTGGTGTTGAATTCTAAAGGTGCTCCATTACTTTGTATGAGTAGATCTCTATGATGATCTATCTGTACAGGTGGAGGTCTTTGACCCCCTATTTCATGGTTCAGAATTCACGAATGCCGTCTTTACATTATCGGACCCTTGTGTACTGGGTGGGTAGTCACGTCCTCTGACAGAGTATTTCCATACATACTGGAGGGAGAAGAAAAGTACTGTCATGCATGTTGTTTACTCTTGAGCAGTTTTACGATCTACTTGTACAAGGTAAACACCGATAGGTTTGTAGGTTGTCAAATGTATTATTTGGCTTGTTTGTTGTTCAACGCCGTCTTCAGTGATATTCCAGCTATATGACGGCGGTCTGTAAATAATCATCCACTTACTCACGGAGCTATCCCACTCATCCACTCAGAGTCAGATGGTCTGTGGTTCCTCGCTGTTCTTAGACAATTGAAGTATATTAATAATAAGCTATAATTAATATAGTTTCAACATCGAGAAAACCGTGAAGATACAGGTCTTCAGCAACCCATGCTTGTAACCCGAGGCGAGTAAAGGGATCGGGTGGTCAGGCTCGCTTACTTGTCATCGTATCCCATGCAGTTGCGTTGACCGATGCTCATGATATCAATCACTAGATTATCTGGTCTCGACTCCATTATCTACAGCCCGCCGCCATATGGCTGGAACATTGCTGAGCGCGTCAAAAACACACACAAAGAAATAAACGAGGCATACTGTGTCATCTGACCTGTATCCTTTGCGATGTATAATCAATCTCAAATAGCATTTACCATCTTTAGGGCATTGGAAATAATTTGAAAACTTTACATGGTACTGACTGTCAGAATTTCGATGTAAACACAAGGGAAAAAGGAGTATTTTTTTATGACGGATGTTGTTCGTAAGGAAATGCACTCGTCGCTAATATTATTCCTAACTCTTTCAGTGCACTTGATTTGTCATGGATGTGGATGACTGACAGACAAAGTGAATATTGATAACTATACGCGACCCGAGGCAACTGCGCATGTTCATCTGCGTGACGACGCCATCTTGTGTAAACAAAGATTATTATTGCGTTGTGAGTGTTACATGGGGCAGCGTAATGGTTTCCCAGCAGATGGATTATTAAATGGCGGCCCATATCGAATCTTGATGGCATGACACATTAATTCCAGACTTGAAATCGTCAGGCGCAACCACTGCTAAGGAACGTATTGTGGCGACTGACTAAATAAGTGTACAGATTGGATAACCTCAATGGTTATCTCCCAAAACCCCTACATCCCATTTCCCCTACAACCCAGTTCCCCTACAATTAGTTAAAACAACACGCGGCATTTACCTGTCTGGCATTATGAACTCACCTAAAGGAGAGATTAAGGTCTGGAGTAGAGGTAGTAGAAATGAAAGGGGTAGAGCTTTAGGGGATTAGGGGCCTTAAAGGAAAGTTAAAAAAAATAAAATAATGTAAGTGTAATGAAAGATGCCTGTATGATGAGAAGACAATTTTTAGAAATTACAAAAATAACAATAGGAAGAAACAATTATTACACTGAGAAACTGAGATGAGACGATTTACAGTTGAGATGAAAAATGAACATTTTGTTATAATGTATTATGAATTTTGAAAAATGAACATTTTATTATAATGTATTATGAATTTTGAATAATATCGTAATCGTAATTAAATATTTATCTCAATCTATTCGAGTTTCTTGGGTTGTTCCATTGTATGAAATAGGTAACAGACTAGGGATTAGCAGTGCCATGGACCGAGAACTTTGTTGTCTTAAGCTGTAGGGGAAATGGGATGTAGGGGTTTTGGGAGGTTACCACCTCAATGAAACCATTATGATGACGTCACGCTATTACTCTTGCCGTTGATTCTGAGCCAGGGATTCACTGGACGTACATTTTAACTAGTAAAACTTAAGCACCAGTACACTATTGGTCATTATGCAAAACTACAGAGGGATATCTATCAATCGTATCTGCTGATTTCCGAAGTAGAATCAGCTCGCCCTTTCGGGGCTCTGATTCCACGTCCGGCATCCACAGATTCGCCCCATCTCTCCATTACATATTCAAATACTTAATCTTTTCATTGTTCATATATATGCTAAACATCTAAAATCCCGATAAGAAAATTTATTTCTCAAGCCTGATGTTTACAAATATATTATGATAAGAAATATTACCTTGACCAGACAACGGACAGGGCTGGCTTGATCATCTGTTTCACCAACACCGGAAGTAATAATATATATATATATTATATATATAAATTTATAAAGCCCCAATTTCCAGATTGGATCTGTTCAAAGGCGCTTTCGCATGAGTCTGGTGGTCAAAGAGTGATTTCAGTGAGCGTTGTAGGCGCATTGGAACAAATAGGTTTTTAACAAGTGTGACACATCATCCAGTGATTCGTGATGGAAGATTCTTGAAATGGTCGCTTTCATTTGCTCGTCAACCAAGCAGATTCCGGGGAGGGCAAGGTCACCAAACACCAAATGTCTGTCGACTGAACAGACTAAATAGGTGTATCGGATTGTCAGACACGGATAGTTGGCTCATCACGTGTTGTCGTAAACGTTGTTCATGTTTTCAACAAATGGTTGACCCAGATTCGATCATTTACTGGCTGATGTGACATAGCTGCAATATTGCTGTCTGCGGCGTTAAACAACATTCACTCACTGTTCGTGTTCCTAGTGACGGAGCTACGTATAGGACTATATGTCTTGACGTTCAGTGAATAAATTTGTTTTAAAAAGGTGAGGTGGTGAGGTGAGGTGAAATGGGGTTTACGTCGGGTTCATGTTTTCATAAAGAACGCCACATTGCAGCGTATAGTTGTCATGACACGTAGCAAGATTGTTCTGTATTACATTTTTGTAGTACCGAGCATTTAGTTTTTATAGTAGTCCAGATCAACGCCAAATGTACCCGAGGTTTAATGCAAAGAATGGGGCAGTTTTATTTGCTATAAAAATAATGCTTTTCTACAGATATATACAA